CATGTAGCCTCCCTTCGAAGTTGAGATTAAATCTGGAATGGTGTGCAAAGTACGACGCAGTTTATATGAATTACAACAGCGGCTGCGGATTGGCACAAGAAAAAAAGCTTTGTGTTTCTGCCATGGGCTTAAAAAAGATGTCGAGCAGACACATGTCTTTTTGTTCGACGCAATGATGCAAACAATAAGTCACCAACATACATAGTCTTGTAAGTGGACGACCTCTTGATTACATGTAGGTCAGATGCAGAGGCGGACACGATTTTCAAAGATTTGTCAGAGCAAATTAATGTGAAGTCGCTTGGAGATGCGCGATTTAAATTTCGGGCATGGAGGAGAACTACTCACAAGAAAAGAAGAATCGGTGCTAAAACAGTCCCAACTTATTATGAATCTGGTTTCAAAAGTTGAGCAAAATGGATCTTACGCAGTGGGCAAACCTATCTGCGCAGGCCAGGACCTAACTACGGATGAATCACACCCGGTGCTGAAGGACATCACTTCGTATCGCAAATTGGTCGGATCACTGCTGTATATTGAGAATGCCACGCGACCGGACATAAGTAACGCGATGTCAGTGCTGTCGCGGTATTTGGACAAGCCACGGTAGATGCACTGGCGTGCGGCTCTACGCGTTTTGCACTATCTCATGGGAGCACAATCACACGAAATTGCGTACAAGAAATCGGACGACAACAAGATAATACCTTGGGCATACTGTGATGCGAATTGGGGAAATGACAAAATGACTCGTCGATCTACTTCTGGTGTGTTGATTTTGATTGGAGGTCCAGTTGTTGTGTACAAAAGCAAGAGTCAAAGTTCGGTGGCTTTCTCCTCTGCTGAAGCAGAATATATGGCACTGGCACTAGCTACACAAGAAGTGATGTGGATTTGTTATTTTGCTGAAGGAAGTGGGTGTAACGTGTAAAACTGCGACGCCGGTTTACATGGACAACAAGTCGGTGATAACTATTGCGACGAACCAGGGATCTACACCAAAAGCTAAGCATATTGGCCGAAAGGTGTATTTTGTTTGAGTCAACATTGAGCAAGGCGAGGTCCGGCACAAACTTGTTCCGTCAGCTATGCAACTTGCTGATTACCTGATGAAACCACTTGGTGCTCCGCTTTCGATGTGACTGCGCGATGAAAGTGGAATCTGAGAGAGTTCAAGTTGAAGGGGAGTGTAGAGGATCACGAGATACGACAATGATGTGCGTGTTGTGATTAAGGCAACTTTCAGGGACAGTGGTATTCGAATGTTATGGATTGAGTGATCAGTATGCGAGGGGTGTTTACATTGAGTGAGTAGTACTTAACTCTTAATACTACTTTACATTTTGCACCACAGAGAAGCAGTATGCTTTCGTTATAAAAACCGCGTCGTAACTTATGCACCTCGAAGCCTCTACATACTATCAACTCAGCTATTGATTGTTCCCCCGTAAATCAGTCCTCTTCGTGCTTATCTATCGTTGAACGACTGAGTACGACGGTCGACTCAGTACCATACATTTATCAACCATCTTATGGATTACACAAGCCGCAAGGCTGTGACATTCTGTCATTAGCAAGTTGATACGACTTCATTCAGCGTATCTCTTGATTCTGAGGAGCGTGGCAGGATCCTAGCTTTCAACTCGCTCTGGCTTCGATTCTGCGACACTGATGCACAACTGAGCGAAGCAGTGCCTGACACAGTAGTTCATTGCATGGCTAATGTAGCAATGGATATCAGAAGACCCAAGCAGTAGCGATGAACTTCGCACGATTGGCACCGACATTTAAAGTAGCCATATTTGCTACACCCCCAAAATTGTGCCTAGATCCAGCGAATAAGGCTCATTCATATTGATAGAAATCGCCTCGAAAGGCACGTCCGTGATTCGAGGTTCTAATTGTATGTGAGATACTGTGTCATACATAATGAAGACTGTTGAAGCAGTATCGATTTTGACACGATACGGTGTAAAGCTGTACGAGATTGTCGAAATGTGGACACGTGAGCCTTCGAGTGCTTACTATAACGCAAGCAGTAAGTAGATATAGCAGCCAAGGGCTACGAACGCGCATGATAGATGGCATGTCCTGACATTGTAAGAGTACTGCGGCTTGCACAGTGGCAATGTTGATGTATGGATACGACACTCGACACGTCGACTTTGCGCAGTCTGACGCGATACAACTCCACAGGTGTCATCGAGGTCTCGAGGTCTCCTTAGCGATGCTCGAAAGAAATCGTGTAGAATCGTCAGTCGCTCACTCGACACGTGCAATTAGGCATTGGAGACGCTTTTGGCGTGCACCTGATCAATGCTCAGCCATGTCTGAGGCGTAGCCAGAGCACCGTCCTCTAGAATTTCATTATCCACAGAGGCTTTGCACGCGCCTTCTAAGCAACAAGGCGTGGTTCTGGCTATGGCCCTTGCAAGATCGCGCCAAGCCATTCGACTGATGTGACACACTTGTCACGACGCACCATTGATCTTGCATGCCATCGTGATGTTTGGATCGATGCAGTACAATGCATCACCAAGTGTCAATCCTGAGGTATTTCTGTTGCCGCAAGTGTATGACATTGATCAAACGTGATTGCTATCGACTTCGACGAGTCGTTTACGGGACGTTGTCGGCGAACCGCTCAATAGCACTTACAGGAGAAAGCACTGCCCGGCTGCAAGGAATATACGAATGGATGCAATCATGTATGACACCTGCTTCAATACCATGCAATGTCTCGGTACGACCCGATGAAGCAACACGAAGAAAGAAAGCGACACGACAACTTTCGAGACGCCATGGCTTCTTTGCTACACTGGCATTTGTAACACGCATAGATGCTGATCAGTCAGTGCCAGTGACTGCGTCAAAGGTACGTTGTGCATGTTAAAGCTGTCCGCTGAAGCTCTTCGTTGGTTCAAATCGTCACTCGTCACTTAAGACGACGAGCGAATACTCACGCGGACAGGCGAATACAACGTGGCACGGACTAGAGGCTACTACCGCTGCTGTGACGATTGCAGCATCGCAGCCTTGTACAGACTATTGCGAGTTTACTCTTAGCCTGGACCTGATCGTGACTCTGACTTGTTTCTGACGAGTCGCGACAGCAAGAGGAAGAGAGATTTTCGAGAGAGTCTCAGAGGATCATGAAAAGCAACAGACGGGTCTGGCTGTGGTCCTTAGACTATGTGCTCATTCACATAGTCGCCCAACGAAAGTCAAACGAACGAGAAGCAGAGCGCACTGTCGTGGCTATGTCTGCAGAAAAAAACTCGAACTTTGATCTGTTACGTACACTAACGCACGACGCAGTACCTATGGTGCATACTGTAAAAACTGGTGAATGACGAGCGACCTGCTATGATCGATACAAGTCGTAAAAGCGCTCCGACACCCGTTTTGTATCTGCATGTCATGTACGTCAGGTTGCGTCCCACCGCAATGCTTTCGTCCAGGATGGTACACTATTTGGCAACGTCCCCATGTTTGTCTCATGCCGCATCGTCGATCGATATTCATTCTCCGTCTACAATAAGCGCATTTCGAGCTAATAACGACAAATGCACAGCAACAAAGGCCACGAAAAACGATATCTGCGGCTGTAGCGTCTGACTACCACCATGAAAATGCGTGCTGGCGGCCAAGTAAGTCGAAATCTGGTTTGGCAGTACATATAAGTCAAAGCCATATCGCGCAGAAACGACGAGATCGTGAAAAGACAGCTGGATGCTCTTCTGAAAAGGTGGTTTACAAATCGAGTGCAAAGTCATTATCCTGCTTCACGTCATTTAGTATGAGGCGTCTCCACTGTAAGGATCAAGAACAAGACAGCATCTTCTCTCTCGATCAGATACGAATCATTCGACGTAACAAGCGGAAAGTCCAGCGAAGCTCAAACGTCAGGCATTGCGAGACTGAAAGCTGTCATTCTGTCGACCCAAACTGCTATCATGACTTCGTCGAGCAACACGGCTTTGGTCACGCATGAGGTCACTCTCCTTGCACTCCATTGTGTGTCCCAGCATGATCGCAACTGCCAAAGTATGCTCAATCCGGCTTTGCCTTATGCGACGTAATACAACTTCTAACTCAGCTGCAGCTTGTTCTCCCCAGCTTGATTCATCCAAAGCTCATTATCGAAGCTGTACCAGCCGGAGAGCTTGATCATGGAAGGTGTGTGTCCTGTTGGCAGCTTCACGACTCTATCGCTCCCGTCCAGCATTTTTACGCGACTGCAGATGAACTCAACACTTCGGGCACGAAAGACGTGGCGCTGGATGAGTAGGGACGGTGGACGTTGCGTTGCGTTGCAGTCAAAGGGCGTTGACCATATTTAGCATACAACAAATGACGAAAGCTACGGACACAATGATCCAGACATCCCTCTGGTAGTATCTCGACAGTAATCTCGAGAGCGGTGTAATAAGTGCTGTACGCACCAAGCGCGCTTTTCGCAAAATCGAATCTACAAAAGATACTGGACTGCAACAGATGATAGTCGAGAAGACCGAGCATTGCACCTTCATCGTAAATTGGCATCTTGTACAGATTTGTGGCCTATATGACGCAACCAAAAGGTTCCAACTCGAATCGATGGACCCGCACGTCGCAACTTCCTGCTCCGACAGAGGTCTGTCATCTCATTGCAGCACCCGCGGCATTCCACATTTCATGGTCGTGGCATCTAGCAAAAGATGCCAAAACGCATCCTAAAAGAGCAGCGATGAAGATCGACGCGTACGTCTGATGCAAAATGCCACACGTACCAAGCTCAGCGTCAAAGAACTAGTCAAATGAACGTCGCCAGCAAGTCTCGAGACCTGCCAGCTGTCGTCCAAGAAACTTCGTCGACAGAACAAATCGAGAAACTCGACTCGTTAAAACGTGACACCCAGCTCTCCTCTCTTTGTCCGCAAACCCACCCCATCCATCGTCAAGTTTACAAGCCAACTGCACTCCCATTTTGTCCATTTTTTCAAATTACCACACGCCACTCACTTCCTCTCCGACACTGTCTTTTCCATGACCAATAGACCGTCTGGTCGACACGAGCCGTGCAAAAGTGCTTGCACATGTTGTTCCGCGCCGTCGGCCAGCGCTCCGAGATGGTACCCGCCTTCGAGCACCGAAACAAGTTTTCCCTCACAGCATTGCCAGGCCACTCGACAGAGCTCGTTCGTGAGCCAGTAAAAGTCCGTTGCGTCTAATCGTAATTCCCCCATCGGGTCCTGCACTGCTCCGTCAAACCCCATGGACACCAGGACCAACTGGGGACAAAACGTGCGTAGACGCGGGAGCACGTGGGCGCTAAATTGAGCACGATAATGTTGGGCACTCGACCGGCCCCGTAAGGGGACATTCACGATGTTGCCAAATGGACCCATTTCACCCGCAAAGCCCGAATTGGGAAACCACGGCGCGCGTTGGTGCATTGATAGATACAGCACTCGCGGCTCGTGCTCAATGATTTCTTGGGTGCCATTGCCATGATGCACATCAAGATCGACAATCACAACGCGCGACAAGTGGTACTGTTCCATTGCATGGAACGCCGCAACTGCAACATTATTAAACACGCAAAAGCCCTTGGTGCGACACGCGGCCGCGTGGTGCCCCGGCGGTCGCACGACGCAGAACGCGTTGCGACTGGGACCACATTCCTGCAACACGCGGTCCACCGCCCGACACGCCCCGCCGGCCGCCACGCGTGCCGCGGACAGCGAGTGTCGCATCAGCGACATGTCGTCGCCTATCGCGACCGACTGAAACTGCCTTAAGTACGCTTTCTTGGCCTCCACGGCCGTATGTACGGTACAGCCGCCAGCTGTGTCGCGCTCGCACGCGTCCAGCGCCGTCATACTGCGCGCCACTTTTTCGCTCAGACTACAGACCATGTGGAGGTACGACTGTGTATGCACACGCTGTAGCTGCTGGTCGGTCGCAGGAGGCAACGACCGGTCAATGTGAAGCCACGGGAAGCGCGCAAACAGCCGCTGCAGGACAGCGTCGAGTCGCTCGGGGCGCTCTTTGGCTCGCGGCAAAACGTGCAGACGGCATACGTCACTATAGAGAAGTAGCGAGTGCGCGCCGTAGACCACAGCCGAGACGGTCGTACGCCACGTGCGGCACACGAGCAGCAGCGACTCGCAGTCGCGCCGCGTCAAGAGACCTGAGACGAGCAGCGAGTGCAGCGGCAGTAGTAGCGGCGATGGCGTCGGCATTCGTGTGCACTTGGCATGAACAATTGACGAATGCGAGGAAGACGGTCGTTGATTGGCTGAAAAGGGCAGCCAATCACACGATAGCGGATGTAGGAATTGTAGTGAGGCAAAGGCGTCGAGTGAATAGTAGTTGTAGTGTGTACTGGATTACGTGTGATGGGGCCGTACATTCGCGTCAAGCGAAGGAACCAGACAGTGTTCGTGGATGTGCAGCCGAGTGACTCGTTCCGTAGCGTAAAGGAAAAGCTCGGCGTGCTGTTTCATGTACCGTGGACGAGTATCCAGCTCTGGGAGGGACTGAATAAGGTTGGTCGAGCGTGTGGTGTATACTATACGGCTGTATATACGTTTTCGTGTGTTTATTTCTGCATGCAATTGCATCGTGTTTTGTGTGGCAATGCTTTTGACTTACTGCTTTTTTGTGTGTGGTTGGATACTATTTTCGGATGTGCTACTATTTTTGTGTTGTTGTGTCATTACATTTGCAGAAAGACAGCAAGGAGTTTGTCGATGGCGCGACGTTAGCAGACCATGAAGTGCCGAATGATGCGGTGGTGTACATGTGCTGGAAGAAAGAGAGTCAGTGTTGCCATTTGTCTACATGGTTGCTCCATTTGTTTTGATGTGGTACTAATCTTTCATCGGTTGGGTTACTGTTATTCTTGTTATCGTTGTTGTTGTTGTGGTACATGTTTGTGATCGCAATAGACTCAGATGAATGGGAAGAGCTGAGTGTAGCCAAAGTGGAAGCCCTGGAGGCTGGGGACGCTTCGAAGTCAACGGGAGGCAATGGATCAGGAGGGAACGGGACAACCGCCGAGTCGTAGACTCTGTCGCAGCTTTTGTCCGTAGGCAACTGGATGGGGTGTGTGAAGAAGAAATTAAATGCTCCAGAGCAGAAAGCAAATGAATGAATGAGACTGATGGCCGTTCAGCTATCCCGAGTGATGTTGGCAAAGGATGCACGACGTTGTCGTGCTTCCTGACGATCTTTGTGTCGGACGACGTGCTCATGTATTTTTATTGTGATTATGACTCTCTCATGCTGATGAACTTGCTGTCTCCTTGTGTTTGACGATTGCTGCCAGTGTGGGAGACTTTGGCAATCCGTGACCCGAACTGGATCGCGCGTTTTGCAAGCTCAGCACAACTTTTGAGTCCGAGAGCTTGGGCTACAACTCGCAACACACGTTTATCACCGACGCCGCGTGGAAGATCAGCGTCACAGAGACAGGAAATAGGGAAGCTTGCAATCGTAGCCACGACGCTTTCGTCAAGGTATGGGAACCGTGCCTCCCGTCCATGTGCGGCAATGCAGCGGTCGTCACGCCCAAGGTTACGTGTCCAAAGCCGGCTGAGATCCTTTTTCAGCTCCGCTCGTAAGGCCTGCGCTCCTCCGTGGACCAGCGTTGTGCGGTGACGCCCGTACCCTGCGAGCTGTTCATCTGCTCCGATGCCCACGAGCACCACGCGTGCACTTGTCTGATAATGCGACGACACTGAGGACGTACTACCCGTTTGTATCGGCGCTGACATGGAGATAGACATTGTACGTGGATCCGTGTGCTCGCTGCAGTGTTTATGACTGCTGACAGGTGATCGTTCGGGTACGCTCTTGGATGTGTCGTCTTGTTCTTGTTGCGGTGCTGTCGTGGCAGGATTTACGCATCGGTCAAGTGGGAGATCCGTATTCACGCGCGTGGAACGCAGCGTGTTATGGATATGTCCACAGCTATCAATGCGTCGCACATTGATCGTCTTCGATGCTGACTGTTCTTCTGCTGGAGTCACCTCGGTCAATACTCCACGACCACGCGAGAGAAACCAGAAGGCAGCACCAATGTTGAAGTCCATGTGCGTATCGCAAGGGGCCATCAGCGTCTGGATTTCGCATTGCTTGCTTGCGAGCTCTTCCCGAGACACGTTGATTTTTACGAGATTCCACTGGCGCTGTGGGAACAATTTGCAGAGCTCAGCGTGAGCCAACTCAGCAGCGCGACGGTCGGGTGATGCGAAACTCGACTTTTCATCAAAGCAGACGGTCAAGAGATCCACCGGTTCGGTTGCAGGAGCATGCAAGTGCGTTAGAGCTGCCAGCACGACAGAGTCCAGACCTCCTGAAAAGAACACCGCGGCTCGAGCTGTGGCATCATTGCTGCCGCGAAAAGCGCGGGACGGAACAGATCGGACGCGAAGACCAACGGCATTGCTGAGCGCAACCAGTAATGCTTGCGCTGCAGCCTCCAACGTTTTTGTGATGTCCGGTGTCGTTGCTATGCGAGGCAATTGACACCCGAATCGATCCGAGACGTCTGTGGACGTCTTCATTGCCGATACAGCTAGTGCCAACATGGGAGCGATTGGCGCGTACGGATGGAATTCCATTCTATAGGATGGCGTCGTCGTTGCCGTCAGCGCTTGGTCTTCGTGCAGATCCAGCACGTATATACCCGATGCCGGTAGCTCCCTGTACTGCATCAAGTCTGAATTATCGTGTCCAATCGCTACATTGGTTAGCACAAAACGGGTCAAGTCGGTCTCAGAACAAGTCGTCGATGCCGTTGTGGTCGTTTTTGCCAGCTCTACTATCATGTCCTCGCGTTGGTCACGTGCCCATCTCTTGTAGAGCAAACTGCGACGTCCGAACCGGTCGTGGGCAAAGTACACTCGTTTGGTTGTGGCATGGAGCCACACGATTGCAAAAGGTCCATGAACTTGACGCAATACTTCAACAACTGGATCCGTGACGCCTGTTGTCGATGTTGCGCCAGCCACTTGTTGGCGTGCGGCCAATTGCAGTCGCTCGGACAGCATCATCGTGTCACTCAGGTGCATGAGCTCGTCGTCACTGGTGTCGTCGTCGTTGATGTTGCACTCACGTGCGGCCGAGCGCTCCCGTCCACCCATTCCGAAGACTTCTCCGTTCCAGCACAGGACGTTATCATCGTCATCTACAACCGGTTGACGAATGATTTGCGGACCACGAAGATGCAACACGGCACTGTGCATTGCCAGTGTAAAGCATCGATTGTGCTTGGAACTCGAGCCCATGTGACGAAGGTGGCAGTGATACTGATCTGGACCTCGCTCACGTAGTCTCGATTCGAGGTCATGATCAACGTGAGACGATTCGCATTGGGTTTGGACGTCGCGGCGGCTTTTTTGGTTCGATGAAGGACTGGCTCGAGAAGCGTTTGCACAAGTTGGAGGTGATTCCAGGAGAGCTGTTAGCACGAACGCGATGCCGCACATGACTGGGTCTTCTGAAGTCGCACTTGGGTTGTGTGTGCGTTTGGCCCCTGTAATTGAGTGGACACAGCGGTTCGGTCTGGTACTTCAAGCCTCGGCTTGTTTCATACTTCAAGCAAGACGAAGCAGGGGAAGATTGGTAATGCCTATCGTAGCACGTACAATACGCGCGCATAGCAGCAAAGATACATCTGCTCGCGCGATTTCGACGCGCAGATTAATCAAGTCAACGACCTCGAATGTCTGCTGCCACGTACGATCAAGACCGATGTTCCTCGTGGGCACAACGAATGAAAGCCATAGCAACAGCGTGTACAAGTGCGTGCATGTTATCCATACGATCCGTTTCCAACATCTGTCTGTTCGTACTTGTGTACGATTACGAACGTGCACTGCAAGTTCTGTACGCTGCGATCAATTGGAAACCACTATCTCTTACTAGTCACACTTTCTAGTTCTCATTGCTGCATCGATCGATCAATCAGTTGATCGGTTCACGCAATTAGTAGTTACTCAGCATGAACAAATGGCTCGCATGGTCGATAGCGGTATCTATAGGATATTTTTCTTGTCGTCTAACCCAAAAACGCCACACAAGTGTCTTGTACTCATAATGGATCCAGGCAACTGCAACTGCATCCATTCCACATGCTACGGACCGCAGCCAAAACATGTCACGCGTCGCAATAGCATGGACAGGATGTGGTCGTTTGAGGTTAGACGTTCGTTTCTCGCGTACTGAAGGTGCTCTCCGAGCCCGTGCTCATTCCCGACACAATCGACAGGCTATACATGGGCGGCTGGACGGCCTTTTGGTAGACAAACTGTTCGCGAGCAGCTTCTTGCGTGTCAATCTGCGTGGCTTCAACGATACACTGGACGCAGAACGTGACTTTGCGCTGCGCGAGTGCCAAGTCCGGTGCAATAAAGCTCAGTTTCTTGGTAATCTGGCACGAGCTGCACACGGCGTGGAAGCACAGTTTGCACGTCTTGATGCGACCACCGAGTCGCGAGTTCTTGACGGCCTTTTGACACGTGACGCAAATGGGTTGGCACGCGGGGATCCCAGCTTTCCGAGCAGCCCTTTGCTTCTCTTCCAGCTGCCACGTGAGCTTTTTCATCTGACCGCAGTAGGAATACTTGAGCCCCGCCATTGTAGCGTGGACCAAGCCCATGACCGCCATGGTCCGGATCATGTCACCGCCGGGGTCCATGATCCCCGTGCCCCGACAGTCAGTTCGATCGGGTGACTCTTGATGGAAAATGCCAACAAACGACATGTGACCCCGGACGCGGTTGGGCAGTTCATGCGCTTCGGGGAAGTTGGCCGAGTGGAACAAGTGGTACCCCACGCGCTCGCCGTTCTTGAGACAGAGGATGCCCGTGCTTTCAATGTAGACATAGTCGCGATTGCGAACAAGGCCGAGCGAAGCAAACGGGATGTCGATTTCCATCCACTTGACCACTACGGACCGAAACGGGTCATCGACCGTTGGCTCAATCACCGACGCGAGCATGGCTGCCGCATTAAAGTCGTTCAGGTACGACGACTTGATCCGCATGGCTTCAATCGTCGGGTTCACGATGCCAAACATATTTTCATCGAGGGACCCAGGCAGTGGACCCGTCATGAGCAACTGGGGCAACTTGGTATCCGGACGCGACGACTTGCGCTCGAGGTACGTCGTCGTTGGTCCCGACTTGGTATGCTTTTTCCACCGCGTGAGGTCCACTTGTTTGTTAAACGCCAAGTACTCTTCATATTCTTCAAACTTTTCTAGCACGAGGGCATCCGTAATGGCTACGAGTTTGCTGCAGTCGTCCGGTGTCAACTGCAGTGGTTTGAACGGATTCATCGTGAAGCGACGAGTGTCCATGTTCACCTCGCGGGCAGATGACGGCCGTCGTGCAAATTCACAAGTGCTGCTTTGGTCGTAGGCGCTGGTACTTTCCGAGCCCATGCGACCGTTTTTGTCTTGAAGTAACAGTCGGTAGGGAGTGCTGAGCCCTTGAAAAGGAGTCAGTCAGTCACTTTGTCGACTCGAACGCTAACCCAAAAGTACGCTGTCAAGTCGTTCAGTCACGTGCTTCAGAGTCCCTCTTTCTTTCTCACACACTCACACACACACACTCTCTCTCTCTCACTCTTTTTCTTTTCCAATGGTGAGAAAAAGAGGACGAGGTGGGGCGTTTGCTGCAGGTGACGACGTCACGTTCTTATGACGTGCTGTACACTTGACACTCATCTCAAATCGTCCGTGGAGGTAAGTCAGGCAGGCTGACATGTTGATGGACTGGCAGATGGACCGATTGAGTTTGTTCAGAGAAAGTAAGAGAGAAGAAGAGACGAGCACTATCGTTGAGGCTATGCAAAATATTTGGCCGAGTAGATATCGATAGACAGACGATAGACAACTTCTCTGTACAACGTGAGATGGAAAGACTCGACTTGGCCTGTTGTCAGTATCGTCCGACAGGCAGTAGTAGTAATAGTAGTAGTAGTAGTAGTAGTAGTAGTAGTAGTAGTAGTAGTAGTAGTAGTAGTAGTAGTAGTAGTAGTAGTAGTAGTAGTAGTAGTAGTAGTAGTAGTAGTAGTAGTAGTAGTAGTAGTAGTAGTAGTAGTAGTAGTAGTAGTAGTAGTAGTAGTAGTAGTAGTAGTAGTAGTAGTAGTAGTAGTAGTAGTAGTAGTAGTAGTAGTAGTAGTAGTAGTAGTAGTAGTAGTAGTAGTAGTAGTAGTAGTAGTAGTAGTAGTAGTAGTAGTAGTAGTAGTAGTAGTAGTAGTAGTAGTAGTAGTAGTAGTAGTAGTAGTAGTAGTAGTAGTAGTAGTAGTAGTAGTAGTAGTAGTAGTAGTAGTAGTAGTAGTAGTAGCAGTTACGGAGATGCTGGTCCTCAAGTCTCTTCTACTTCTCCTTCTTCTCCTTTTCCTCCTCCTCTACCTCCTTCTCCTCCTCCTCCTTTACATGTGATCACTCGCGCACCTGGGTGGGAACGGATTCATTACGAGCTCAACGGCGGACATTGTCGTACGCACGCAAATGCCACCCAAACGTTATGCCACGTCTTTGTCATCATGTCGCGACCAGGTCTCCGGGCCTACTCACTGAAATCATTCTCGCGCGCGCACTGCAGCAGCAGCAGCAGTAGCAGTAGCAGAGAATTGGATATTCGCGTCTTGTCGGTTGCATCGTTCTTATGCGCTCCTTCTCTATCTATATGCACGAAAGCTTTTGCCAACACCTTTTATCGATGGAGGCAGTTCCCACACAAGAAGAAGAAGAAGAAGCTTCACGCTCGTTCGCTGATCGTCACTAGTCGTCTTCACTCGGCGTCCGTGGGCATGACGTCATTGCGTCTTTCACGTTGTGCCCATCCAATCGACGTTCACCATCTTCCGCACGAGCTTTGATATCCATCGTCGACGTTCGTCCTACACTTTCGAGCGGGAAGTCATAGAGAGAGAGAGAGGGTGCGATCCCCTTGTGCAGCAGCTGTCGCTCGATCGCGAAAGTCCCATCTCGTCAATGTCGGGCAAAAGACATTCGGTTCGCGAGTCGACAACTCGAACGCCACCGAAGGATCGTTGAATCAATGGGCGGGACGCACGACGGCTGCAAGTTTCCACGCTACGACTGCTTTCTCGTCCATGGCGTATCGTTGATCTTGTTACTGCATTGCTTTAGTCGGTGCATCAGTCAGTCGATCAGTCAGTCGTAGGGATCGGCAACCACTGGACCATTCAATATCCGACAACTCCCTCCCGTCTCATCCCCCCACGTCGCCCACAAACGTCACGCGCCGTAGAAAACGTTCCGTTGGCCCATTTGGACCACGCGGCTGTCCACGCGTCCACATCCACGTTTACCGTTCCTGTCTGTCTGTCTGTCTGTCGGTCTGCGTTTTCTATTGTCACGGTCCGAGCAGTGGAACTCGTGGGCGATTAGCTTTTTCTCCGAGACTTCGAGACAGGACAACGAACGGGTCCGTTCGCCAGTGTCGGGTCGATTCGTCACGTGCTGTTTTACCAGACGATCGTCTCACACTTCGACTAGTAGTACAGTACCAGACAAACAAACGTCTCACTATTTGACTGGTAGTACAGTACCGGACAAACAAACGTCTCACTATTTGACTGGCAGTACAGTACCTGTGTTCGTGCGTGCAATATGCTCCAACAATCAATTACGTTACCAACAACAACGACACAGTGTGTCTGCTTCAGCTCGTGGACCGAACAATTTGAACCTGATCGAGTTGCGGCGTCACGTTCTTACAATGACCAACTAACTACCGCTGCGAGTCGCTACTGTCGTAACTTTCGAGACGTGGACACTGAGACTGCGATGGTACTACTACTAAGTGCTACTACTACTACTACTACTACTACCACTGCTGCTGCTGGAAGGGATCAGTTAACTGACTACCAGTCGACGACCGACGCTGCTGCTACTGTTGCTACCACTAGAGACTTTGGCAATGAACCGCTACGCAGCTAATACTATAAACTCGACACATGCGATAGACCTTCCGACACGCTCTCGTCCTCTTGCCCTCCTCCTTCTCCTTCTGCTTTGTATCCTTCTCCTCAATTCCTCATCCTCATCCTCACTGCATTTAGCTGCCTTGAGAGTTTGATGACGAGCTCATGGTGCCGTCCGAGCGCGAGCTCAGATCACAAGCCCTTGGACAGTCGCTCGCACTGCGCTGCCCGCGTTGGTTTTTGTCGACAAACTGCTGCCGCGCAGCTTCCAGCGTGTCGCCACTCGTCGCTTCGACGAGGCACTGCACGCAGAACGTCACCTTTCGCTGCACGAGGTGCGGCTGCTCGGCCGGGCGGAGGAAGCTCAGCTTCTTTGCAATTTTACACGTGCTACAGAGCAGTCCGTCGCACAACTTGCACGTGCCACTAGACTTGCCGACACTGAGCTTCAACTTGCCCGTTTTGATCGGCTTCGAGCACGTGACGCACACGGGTTGAGCGACCAACGCCCGGCGCTCTTTCACGCGCTCCTCGGGGCGCTGCGAAAGCACCTGCACGAGCTTTTTCATCCGTCCGCAGTACGAGTACTTGAGGCCTGCCATGGTCGCTTGAACCATGGCCATGATGGCCATGACCCGCGCGCCGTCGCCGCCGGGGTCCATGATCCCCGTGCCGCGGCAGTCGGTCCGGTCAGGGCCTTCTTGGCAAAAGACGCCGCAGAACGACATGTTCCCTCGCACGCGCGACGGCAGTTCATGCGCTTGGGGGAAGCTCACCGAGTGCAACAAGTGGTACCCGAGGCGCTCGCCCGTGTCGAGCTCGGCAATGCCACAGCTCTCGAGGTAGACGTAGTCGCGATTGCGGACCAAGCCCAGCGACGCCCCGGGGATGTCAATCTCCATCCACTTGACCACAACCGATCGGAACGGGTTCTCGACACTCGGGGCCACGATCGTTGCAAGCACTGCCGCTGCGCTCACGTCGTGCAAGTACGACGCCTTGAGCCGCATGTCGTCCAGCGTCGGACTCACGAGGCCAAACATGTTCTCCTCGAGCGTGCCGGGCAACGGGCCGACCATGAGCGACGCCGGCAACGACTTTGTACGTGGCTGGTGGTGTTTGCTGGGCGAAGCACTCCGTTCCAAGTACGTGGCGGTCGTGCCCGCGCTGCACACTCGTTTCCACCGCGTGAGGTCCACGTGCTTCCCCCGCTGCACGTGGTGGCGATACTCGCGCACGTTGGCGCGCACGAGCGCATCGGCAATGGTCACGAGGTTCGCGCGGTCGTCGGCCGAGAGCAAAATCTCGTCAAACGGACTGTGCGTAAAGCGCTGGTCGTTCATGTGGCTAGCAACGACGACGCCCGAGTGCAACTGCTATAACTACGGTAACTACGGCAGCTCTACCTGCCTGAACGAACGACCCGACCTCTCTCTCTCTCTCTCTCTCGAGAAAAAGTCAATGCAAAAGTCGCTGTTACTGATAGAACCTGCACGAACGGGTAGATGGGACTCTGGCTATGAAGATGTGTGTGTGTATGGTATGTATTTATCCGACAGGCAGAGGTGAGGAGGTCACGAAAACCTGCAGGCGCTTCCAATGGCTGTTGTGTCCTATTGTCCAGCAGCCCTTGACACCTGCCAGTGGTTTCGGCCGAGCAGCTGTATGGATACGATTTGTTCCGTGGCACCTCTCGGTCAGACAGTCGGTCGGGTTGTTTACGTTCCGGGCGATGAGGAAGAAGTCGAGCGTTGCACACTCACGTGCACTATCCACGGCGTCGATCTTATCGCCCGAGAGGGGAGTCAACCAGTCGGCTTCAGTCAGCACGTTCAGCCAGCCAGTCAGTCAGTCAGTCAGTCTGACTGGCTTCAACCAGACCATCACTGAGAAAGAGGAGCGGGAAGAAGATGGCGAGGAAAAAGAGCCGTGAGGGAACACCTACGCGCGCGCGGGCAATCTCTATGCAGTCGACGAAACTACAATCTGATGGGCCTTTCATCGCTCACGGGATAAGCGAAGCTAACGTCCCGCGTCGCACGACCACACCGTGCGCGCTCAAGCGGCTGCCAGCGGAATGTTCCAGGAGCGCCACGTCCGCCGTAACGGATCGAATGGAACGACGAGACGGGACACGTGGTTGTTCTTGTTGCTGGACCTTGACCCGGGGCTGGTGTAGCACGCGCGTCCAGTAGAGACTTAGTGCATGATACGCCGAGGCGGTAGGAATGGACGTAGTGGTGCTGCTGCTGCTGCTGCTTTTGTCTCGAGGCGCTATGCAGTGGCAGTGGATGACGGTAGCCACAGTAGATGCCGACCTATTGTCGCGCGGTGCAGCAGCTGTCACGACAACGTCTCGCACGTTCAGGTGCACCAGCTGCTTGACGTCGGGCGCGAGCGTGACGAAAGCTGCAGGTGTAACGCGGACCAAGAGATCCGTTGCCACATGTTGGACGTCAACGATCGCATGTGGCGACACCCGCAGCGCTGAAGCGACGGCGCGTTGAGCCGCCACATTTGCATCGGTGCAGTCGACGTCAAGCTCGGAATCGACGTCCAGGACCAGGAGCACGTTGTCGATATTGCACTGCACGTTGAAGTGACAGTGCACCGCGCGACGTGACGTCGTGTGGAAACGCAGCGACTGACTTGTGGTCACACGCGTTGAATCGAGCAACGCCAAAGCTGCTGACAAGACGGCGTAGACGCTCGGCTCGACTTGGGTGCCTAGCGACAAGAACGTCAGGTGTCAGCTCATTGTTCGTGCAGTGCCACTACGTCGCAACAGCAGTACATGACGGTGTGTACCTGGCGTGAACGATCGCAGGTCATACTCGACCAGAGCGCTGTTTGTCTTGAAGAGACCTCTGCGAGGAGCAACGAATGTTGTCTCGCAGAGATTGGTCTCCACTGCAACACGCTGCATCCAGTCCAGAGCACTGTCCTTGTGGTAGATGTTGGCAGACGAGAGCAACACGACTGCGACTGGAACGCCTTGGAAAGCTTCTTCCGTGAACGCATCGACCTACAAAAGACGATCCATTGACAGCGATGACAAGGAGTCAGCTCGTTTGTGTACGTACGCTTACAGGTCATCGACCTGTGACTTTGTAGGTATCACCTGAACGATCACGGGTCGTCGAGCAGCTTCACAGTCGAGCTCGAGTTCGAACCACGGGTCGGTCCCGTGCACAACGGGTGACTGCCTGGTCACGACGTACCCGCAGTCGACATAGAACTTTACTAGATGGGCTTTCGCGATCAATAGGATGCGCTTGACGTGTGTGTGCGAGGCACAGATTGTGGCTGTGTACTCTTTGAGCATTTGTGCGCCATACCCCACTCGGCGAAACGCTGGATCAATGACCACCGAGTGGATACACAGCACTGATCCACTGGGATCATGACGGCTCATGGCGTCTTCATCGAGTTGGCCGCTGGGTGATAGCGTGCCATTGATAAACCCTACGAGGACTGCGGCATCTTCGCTCGGATTGTCGGATAGGTAGGCCGCCATGAAGAACGCAGGTGCATGTTTCAGGCGGAATCGAACTGTGAATTCGGTCGCGGCTTCGTCGATCGGGTACGAAGCGGCTTCTAGGGATATTGCACGACGGATGGCGCCTTCTTTGTCGTCGGCGAGCTCAGCAAGTCGAAGATACTTTGGAGACGTCGTCATGGCCACGATGGACAATGGCGAAGAGCTCCGATAAGAAGAACGAGGGTATGGGCCGTATCTCTTCGTTGTGACACGTGACGTCTTTTTGCCTCGACTTAAGAACCATGCGATCAACAGCACGAACGAACGCGATCGTGTCAACACAGGATATTGTGTGTATACACTGTCTGCTTTGACATCGCGCGCAATCGCGTAAAGTAACGCTACATGCGAGAAGACACGGGCGAGCCAGTCATTTATTTATCTACATCAGAGCTCGCTAGCACTGACAAGTTGTTTCCTATCCTGATTTACACGATACGTACCACGCCATTGAGTCCTGCATTCCTAACGTGCATCAGTAAGACCCTCAAGAGTGGGTTTCTATCCGCAATTCATTGCCGTAGCTGCTGTGGTGTGTTATTGATCGTAGATACTCAGCGTCTCGTCCGAGTGCGACGTAGTGTACGAGTATCGACCCGACGAGCCATACACACTCGACGACGACGTGTGTTTGTAGACAAATTGCTCGCGCGCAGCTTCTTCCGTATCCATACGCGTGGCATCAATCAAACAGCGGGCACAGAATTCCACTTTGCGCTGCATCATCTCGAGGTCTGGAGCAATAAAGCTGAGTTTCTTGGCAATTGTGCACGACGTGCACACGGTCCCAAAGCAGAGTTTGCACCTGCGGCTCGAGCGGCCAAAGTCGCCAAACGTCCGTCGGTGCACGCGTTTCTTGCACGTCACGCACTCGGGTTTGATCGCAGGGAGGCCATGGTCCCGTGCTTCATTGTGCTTTTGCTCGAGCAGCCAGGCGAGTTTTTTCATCTGACCGCAGTACGAGTACTTGAGCCCGGCCATCGTCGCTTGGGCCATGCCCATGACCCCCAACGTGCGGATCATGTCGCCGCCCGGGTCCAACACGCCCGTGCCGCGGCAGTCGGTCTTGTCCGGTCCTTCTTGGTAAAACATGCCGCAAAAGGACATTTTCCCGCGCACGCGGTTCGGTAGGGCATGTGTCTGGGGAAAGCTCACCGAGTGCAACAAGTGGTACCCCACGCGCTCGCTAGTGTCCAGTCGCATAATGCCCGTGCTCTCGAGGTAAATGTAGTCGCGATTGCGCACAAAGCCGATCGACGCGCCAGGGATGTCAATCTCCATCCACTTGACCACGAGCGAGCGGAACGGGTCCATTTCCGTCGGCTCGACAATCGTTGCGAGCACAGCCGCTGCGTTAAAGTCGCGCAAGTACGACGACTTGATCCGCATGGCTTCGAGCGTGGGACTCACGAGGCCAAACATGTTTTCGTCGAGCGTGCCGGGCAATGGCCCGACCATGAGCAACGCCGGGAGGGGCGAGTCCTCTGCCTCGGCTCGTTTCCGCCGGTCCAAGTACATGGTCGTGCTCCCGTCCTTTTGATACTTTTTCCACTGCGTCGGGTCGACAAACTTGTGCCTCGTCAAGTGCTCTTGGTACTCGACAAACTTCTCCAGCACGAGGTCATGGGCAATGGCAATGAGCTGCGCGCGGTCGTCGGGCGTCAAGATCAAGTCGGGGAACGGGTTCAACGTAAACCGATTGCCACCCGTCATGTCGTATGTGTACACGGGTATGTACGTACGTACGTATGTGTGTATGTATGTATATGTGTGTGTATATGTGTCAATGTGCTTTGCACAGAGCGAGGAAATTGTACACTGACCCGAGAATGGAGTGACTCAATCGATCGACTGGTGATCGATCGATCGATCGATCTCTGAGCTTTGGCAAAGGCTCTCGTGGTGGGCTCACACTGCACGTTCGTTGCAAAGTTCGTTGCAAGAGCAGTGCTTTGTCTTCGTTCCTGTTCGAGACGTCGTGCAGTGTGGTAGTTAAGGAGACTGTCGAGACCGCTGGCCCGGCTCGACGCCGCAGTCACACCGGATGGTGTGCGCTCTCTTTGGCTCTGTCGTGCCGCGCATCGTACGAAACGACACGCGCTTTTTTTCTCAACAACGAGGTCTGCTGTCGTTGTTGCAAGGACAATGCAGTAGCAGTAGCAGTAGCAGAAGGCGACAGGAGGAGGCAAAAGGAGGAGGAGAAAAAACAAACGACAACGCCCTATGGTCAGTCGCACGGTATGGTATCGACGGTCGTGCGCTAGAAACCAGTCGGTGGGTAGAGCATCGACGTGTGGGTAGTGTGTGTGGTTGCACCGTCGCAGCGCGTGTCGTGGCTGTCTTTGTCGAGCAGCGGTGTTGCAGACAGTAATTGGTAACGCGTTTGTGAGTTGCTGTGGTTGCTGTGGTTGCTGTGGCTGCTTGGGCTGGTCATGTATGCGCAAGTAAGTGGGTAAGTGGGTCGTTGGTGGGTTTGTAAGTAGTTGTCCAGCTTTGTTTTGACATGCGCCGTGTGCGGTCATTACGGACGCGAGTGACCACGAGTGCCTCACGCGTTCGTTCGTTCGCTTGTTTGTTTGTTTGTTTGTTCGTTTTGGTTTCGCACAAACGTACGTGATGGGTTATGTCATGTTTAAAGGAGTGTTGGGAGACTTGAACCAAGTGGTTGATGCTCGCGTGCTGTGTCACCAGTTGCTATGGGCGAGCAACTAGTTGACTTGTCGAGCGTGTGACTCAATGGGTCTGTCGATACTATTGTAATACTTCTCCTGCAACTGCCTTGGAATGCGACTTGGGATAAAGGCCGTCATGCTCGACGCGTGTTGCCGTACCACATCGACAAGACAGATGGAAAAATCGCGAGTGTTCGAGGGCACAACCAGGCGACGTGAAAGAAGACTTGCCGTCAATTTGTCTGTTTGTCGATTAGTCTGTCTACCTGTCTGTTTGGCTGTCTGTCTGTTTGTTGCCTGTCTGTCGTCTCGAAGGGAGTTAGACGATCGAGTTCGACCGCACGTGAGGCGCTTACAGATTGGCCTACAGTCTCACGTTGAAAGCTTGAAGTCGGGAGGTCGTGGCCGCCTTCGCCTTTCGACGTTGGCGGCTGGCGGCTGACTTCTACATGTGGTGTCGGTAGCAGTGGCCGTACGCGTCGTATTGTCAGCACTGCATGGAAGCGTGGAAGAGCCTGGCGACCGTGAGTGAGCAACCCATCACGAGATTTCTCCGTCTCGACGCGGTACTTGAGGTGTCCTCAAGTGGTTCTTCCACTTGCTGAGGCGCTGTGTTTCAATGTCGAGGCACGTACGTGACTGTGGCTGCTCTCGATTCAAAATACGTTGACGTCCAGCGTCAGTCCACATTGACGTCGTTGTACGCTCACTTGACGGTACAGAAGATGTCGACACGTTCAGTGTTTACGGCTGGGGCTCTCGCAGGCTCAATGCGTGACAAAAAAAGCAGAGATCCCGTAGCTGTTGTTCAAGACAGTTTTGACTTCAGCAAATGTTCTTGAGCACGCACGAGAGTGCATAGCGCCATCGTTGGCCACGATCGTGTGGTGTGTACGACCGTACGGCCTTCCCGCCACTCGATCGATTCATCCGCGGGAAGCCCGAACCGGACCACAACGTTGTGGAGCTCAAACGCAAACGACATGCGTACCACTAATTGGTCACGACTAGCATTGTGATCAGCCTGTATCAATGCAAGCAGTAGCTACTGGAACATCAAGTTCATGCTCGGAAGACGATGAAGACGGAGACGAAGAAGAAGAAGACGGAGACGAAGGAGTCGAAACACATACACATCGAAGCGTTGCAGTGTACTTGTGGACCGAGTTCGAGACACCGGTAGGTTGGCCTCAAGGCTATCCAGCGGAACGTCCGACTGCGCAAGGTACGCGAATCTGTTTCAATACGCGCCCATGTCGGTGGAGATCATGTCTTGTCTGCAGTGGTGTCCCGACTATTTAGTGCGCTCTCGGTGGAGACGACGCTGCTCTTTTGACACGAAAAGCCACGACCACGCGAGCTGCTTTTTTTCTTACGACAAGTGTCGAGGTACACGGGCGCAAAGACGTATCGTCATAACTGCTCCAACAAGTCACGAGCGAACTCCCTCTCGTCGACGATTTGTACGAACGCTGAAAGAAATAAGTACCGCGCAGGACTCGCGTTCCTAGATCCTAGATACCATACGCAGTGTAGTGTAGGTTTGACTGAAAGAGGGACAGGATCCTATCCGATGGTCCTGTGTAATGTAGCATAGCAGTCGAAGCAGTACAAGTCTGGAAAGTAAGACGACGTAGTGAGGCCGCAAGATCCTTCTCGCAAGATCAGAGCGTACCGTGTGTTGCAATAGCTCGGGACCAACGCTGGATCTCGGTCTGGTTACCAGACAGATGCGACACACTACCACCGCCTCTTTTTCTGGATCGTGGTCCGTCCCATCGTTTGGCACCGCGTGGAGAAACGCGACAGACGTCAACTACAAAGAGGCAGAACATGCAGCAGCGGATTACACGCGGGTTGCACGCCACATGTCGCTCGCCAATGCCGAGCAGTGCTTCTCGAGCGACTAATGGTCGGTGGTCGTGTGACACCCGATCGAGCCAGCTACAAGACGTTTACCTCGTCCCGGCTCCTACTGCAAAGTCCGTCTTGCTTGGCATGAAAGAGATGCGGAGGTGCATGGCAGCAGTGGATTGGCGTCGTGTCAATCAAAAGGACGAAAGGCTCATGACGCTTGACGCTCGATCCAGACTCAAAGCTAGAGCCTTAAGGAACAGCAAATTGTCATTCCTTGAGCTCTTTGAAGCATGACAAATTGTCGTTACAAATAAATACTCGGAAGATAGACGTTGTCTCACGTGATCAATATCCTACACGAGCTCTCCTTACGTGTGTCTATCAATTCCTTCACGTCGCAGGAGTTGACTCGAGCACCGGATGGATGATGTTGGCTTCGTGAGCCATTGGCAAAGGAACAGCCAGGACTGGCACTATCTGCTGTCGTGTTGCTTGCAGTGGCTTGCATCAGCTGCAACACTTGGCAACGTTACAGCTGTGCAGTCAGCTTCTCCCAGTTCGCTGTAGTTGATCGTGCAGTGTCTGGTTCTCGAGCACGCACAGTCATGCGATGTAACACAAGTACAACAACGACAGAGCGAGTTCATGCGTGGTCCTGCACAACGCCTCGCTGTCAAACAGCTAACTAGCGGTCCGTTCGTATCCAAGTCGTTTCCAATCCGAGACAGACTATTCTGGATACCTCTTGCGAGGTCCTTACGTGGAGACGATGGCATGTCTCGCTCTTTAAGTTGCAAGCGCTTACAGATGATGCATGTCATACGTTACCTAACACCCCACACCTACCGCCTACCACGCTGCACGGCAAGGATCGAAAAGGTCCGAAACCAGACGACCAACTTGATTGACGGCAGGTCCCGACACGTTCCGAGCTCGTCGTTCAGCTTGTCCACGTTCGTCAACTGGATAGCCACGTCCGCGTAAACCGATTTGCAACAGAAGCTCATGTAGAGTCAGTCGATCGCCTATCCGAGCTTGTTCAGGCTATCCAGACGGTCAACTCCCATCAGCTTGACCGCGGCTATCGATTGGAAGGTAGCAAAGGCTCGTGACGCGTGACGCATCAAAGATTGGGCAAAAGGCCGAGCGTTGCGGCGAGACACGAGGGAGCTGCGTGTGCCAGTAATCAAAAGCCAGGAACACGACCGGTCGTTGTTCGCAGGAAACGCCATCAACAAAACCAGATAAACCGTCGATAGCAATGCGATCGTGCGCATCCGTCCTGGTCGTCGTGTATGTACAAGGGCGTTCTCATCTTGTCAGGAGGTCCCATGTGCAAAGCTGTTCGAGACCGTACCATCCGCTGACCTTTCGTGACGTATCGCGACATTTACATTTGCGGAATAGCCGTTGGTTGGAACTTGACCCGCGATCTCGAGCTGCACAGATAGCGGCCACGCTCTTTTCGCTTCATAGTAATTAGTTCGTTGCGTCGCAGACCACCTGCACGTCGATGATGCGGTCGTGTCTCGTCCTGACCCTCTCACTCAACTGCGATCCAATAGTGCTTTTTCCCCATTCAATTCCACGCACAGTACAAGTCACGTGCTGAACTTTTTGCGACGTGAGACTTAAGAAAATCCCACTTGACGCGACAGATGTCATGAACGTCGCCGATATTCGATCTCAGCAAACGCCCTACCAACCACATTCACCCCTTCCTCGTCCGCCCCCCCCCCTCGTTTGCCCGCTTTCGGAACCAAGTCGGCCATGGCCACGAACGTTGTGAATGCGCTGTTTGGGTCCTACGACCTGCGCAATGCCAAGCAATGGCGGGACGAAGACATGGCCCATCGCGAGCAGGAGATCCAGTGGCTCAATGACGACATCGTGCGCGCTCATCAATGGCGCGTTGCCGACATGGAGCGATTCCTTCGACGGGAGAAGATGCAGAGCGAACATTTGGTCTGTGAAGCTCGCGCGGATCAGCTCTCGACCGTCTCGGAACAATCGGCGCTGCTCTGTGGCTTCATCGTCAGTGCCATGTGCAACGTCGGCATCCCCGAGGACGTCCACGCCTACGTCTTGTACTTGTACACCATCTCGGGCACTTCTGTCTGTGTCGCAATGCTCATTTGTGCCGTCATGTGCACCAACTTGTTGCTCGCTGTCACGCGGTATGCTGCTCATACGCTGGAAGATAGTGTCCGGTCGATGGACATGAGCGAACTGGAATCCGAGTCGCCCTTCAGTTCGTGGTGGCTCCGGCGCTGTGAAAAGGAGCAGATGACTGCTTACAAGTTCCTGCTCTTTGGCGTCGCTTTCTTCTTCCTCTACTTGGGCGCTGTCTCGTGGGTCCAGTTCTACATGTCCACGGGCACGTCAATCAGCATCTCGTCCCTCTCGTTCGTGGGCTTTCTCATCTGGCAGCTACGCATTGCAAGCAAATGGAGGTACCTCTTGACTCCGCCTTCATCGCGGAATGCTGCGCGGGGCATGGCGTCCAGCACGCAACTGTCGGTATTGTCCGATTCGTACCTGTCCTTGTCGAAAACGCCACGAACAGTGAGGAAGTCCGTGCCCGACTTTGGTTCAGAACTACCAGGTTCGACGTCAGGCTTCACGTAGATCAGTTCCGCAGACCGAGCGACGTGTTGACAAGAATTCGCGACAGCGCGAGATGGATCACATGTGCTTTCTTGGATCTTGTCGAGCTGGCGATCAGTACGTGGCATGTTTGGACATCGTTGATGTGTTGACGTAACTTCGATCGATACACCCCCATTTGGCAGGATACTGTGCCAGCAAAGTATGGTGCTGCTACCAGAACTTGCAGTGATGGTCTCATTGTCGTCAGGAGTGCATGTTTTCGGATCTCTGACACACTTATGCAAGTGGGGCAGGCGTGACGACTGACGCGCCAATCTCCAGTGAGTCGTCCAGCGAGTCGAGTACATTGCGATCGTCAGGTGGAAGGAAATACGTCGTGAACTCGATCATTTCGTAGACGAATGCCAGCACTAAGAAGAAGAGCCACGCGTAAAAGTAGCGGACGTTGCGCTTGCCGATGCATTTGCCCGTCCACGGACAGTGGTGATCGTACTCTTCAATGCACACTCGACAGTCCATACAATGCATCGCTCTGGACAACAGCAAACACACACACAATCGAACTTCTCGTCAATCAAACCAAACTCGTCAGATACTTGCAACATGCACAAACGCACCCTTCCGGTCGATATGACTCACAATGGTCGCAATAGGTGAACGTATCATCAAGAGGCACGTCCGTCCTGACGAATTCACACCACCAAGTGAAAACAAACACGTCAGTCAACAGCAGCGACGTTTCTCCATCTCTCTCTTTCCTTGTCTACCTTTCCCACCTCTGAACAATACCGGGATTCGTGCATCCAACAAGGGCGTAGCACGTCAAGCACATGCCAGAGAGCAACACTCCGGCCCCTCTTTCGACCATTCCCGCCTTTCCAATGGTCACCACGTTCACTGTTACCACCAGTACGCTGAAACACGACCACGTCGCCACCATCAAGTACCAATGAGGTCCCATCATGCAGCGTGGTGGAACAGCGTCTGCGTTTCGTACGTTCCGCCATCGAATTCCATAGTTTACACGCTTGAGCCGCACAAACTCCAGCACGTGGTGCGTCGGGGAACACTGTGAACCACCAGTGAGCACCTTGAGCACCTGCCACTCATGCTGACTCTGAGCCAGCAACCGGTCATCTTCATAGCGTCCGCCAGCGTTCCACGTGCTCGGGTCACATTGCACAACGGATGCAGGAGCCGTCGTATGCAGCATCTTGGGTTTTGACAGCCTCAACAATTCCGTCTCCCTTGTCACACGTGGCAAATCCCTGTTTGGATTACGGCTCATACTGTGTAAAAAAAACGAATCTTCCTCTTCAGTAAACGTCCTGTCAATCCATCACTCGTGTCAGCCTCACATGTCAGTCAGTCAGTCAGTCACAAGAAGCTGAATTGGAAATACAATCACTGACCGCGCACGGGCTGTAACAATCCGTTGCTGCCTTTGTTGACACGTCTTTTCTTGGACACGTTGCTGCTTGGACAATGCACTGAGCGGAGAGCGCGTTGACTGTTGACGAGTGTCGGGTTGTCAGCATCTGCTGGATCGGTCCTTCATTCTGCTTCCTTGATCCTGCATATCCCTGAAGCCCAGTCACCGCAGCAACATCTGCGTTCTCCCTTCGTTGTCACAGTGAGTCGTTGACCCCACCCACGTGTCAGCTGCACCATCCGTCGAAGTACCTACGGATCCTGCCATTCGCGTCTCTTCGCGATGATGACGTTCACTGCCATAGCGATCGCTTTTGACCGCAAATCATTATGGGTACACGTGCGTAGGTCATCGACTTGTCCCCTGTACTAGACAGCTATCCATCCTGGCAATTGACCAGAGGGTGTCGCACAAGCGATTGCCGTTCCCAAGCACTCACTTGTTGACTGGTCCACTCAACAACGAAGCAGCTACCGAATGCGCACGATATTCTCTGTTGACGCTCAGGAATACCTGCTGTGCGAAAGCTCGTGTCGACATGTCACTGCAACAAACAAAGTTTCTTTGAGTTCCATTGCAATAGCACAAATAAGCTGGATTCGATACCAGTGTGTGGAAAAAGCCTTGCCAGCGTGCTCCTGTGTCTTGCACCACACGCAGCGAACCACGATCAAAATTGTCTTCGCCTGATGATCAAGTTTGGCCGCCACAAGGCTTGGAAACATCGAGGTAATAGCAGGATACGCTTGGCTGGGAGCTCACTTTGTTTGCAAACCATTTTCTTGATATCTTACCATTATTCTGAAGATGCTGTTAACCAGCTACTAGCGTGTGTGACGCGCCACAATCCATCTGACCTACGACACCAGCTTCCTTCACCCACGCCACACGTCTCTCATGCACTTCTGCTGTTGCCGATCCTGCATTGGGTGATAGCTGCGACGAGCTCGTGTATGAAAGCAGAAGCGCTCCACAATTTGTCAAAAGCGCGTAGTGCGTTTCTCCACACGAGACTTGGACAATCCGGCCAAAGAAGTCGCGCTCGAGCTGCGGCGGAAGTGACAGCAGCGTTGGGGAGAGAAGCACCTTGTCGATGTCCAGCGAAGGATCACGTCCGCAAATACATATTGTTCCATTACGCAGCAAAAAGAGCGAAAAGTCACTACCCCCTGCGACATCAACTAGATCAGAGATGCCTGCGACAGCCGCTGAGAGTGCCATGACTTGCATCGGTTGATCGGCATTCATGTAGCAGCCATGTCCGAGTTGGCCAGAGTCGCCACGTCCCCACGTGAACCCCACACCGTTGCCGCTGATAGCAAGCGAATGGTCTTTTCCAGCAGCAATGCGGCTGATGACGTTCCGTTCTCCACTCCCGATCCTTGACTTCATGTCGATCGACCATCCTGTCCAGTCTGCCTCAAGCAGTCTAGGTTGCTAATACACAACAGTACCCAACATCGTTATCTAGCAGTCAAAATAAGTTGACCCACTCACGCATTCTACACACTTACCATCATATCTAGCAAGCCGTCAGCAGTACGTCCAAGTTTTCCATATTTGTTGCATCCCCACGAAAAAACACGGCAGTCAGAGGATAGAGCCAACGAGTGGTACTCGCCGCACGCAACGGAGCTCATATACGTCCCTCGCAGACCTTCCACGACCGTCGGTTTTTCCACCACAGTTGACAACGTTCTTGGTGATGAAAGCCCCAACTGACCTCTCGAGTTGCTTCCCCATGCAAACACATGTCCATTCAAATCCGTAACCAGTGTATGAAAAGCTCCGCAAGCAACTTGAGTGATGGTCTGCTGCTCCAAAGCACGTACACGCTGTGGACGATACACGCGTCTCGAGTCTCCATGTACAAGAGCGTACCCCAAGCGACCACCGCTGCTGTCTCCCCACGTCCACAGTTTGCCATCTTCCAATACTGCTGCAAAAAACCTTTGACCTCCACTCACACGCAGTATGTTCCTGTTCCTCGCCACCGTTGTCTGCTGTTGATTGTACCTAAAGTTGACAGGATGCACAGCAAGTGGACCATCTGACAAAGCCTCGTCTTTGTCTTCCAGCGGTGCGCCACTAGTCGACGAAGACCACCCACCAATGATCGATAAACGGCTCATCGACACGGGCACCGCGTCACTTGTAGGAACCTTAGCACTGCCATAGATGTGACCGGATATACCTTGTCTAGTCTCTGCTCCAGCCTCTCGTCGTGCACATGCGATAGTTTCCACAGCTTTCATCAGATCTCGACGAATTCCATGGGCAGCTTGCACACAAATGGACTCGGCAATCTGTTGGCTGCAGCTCCTTCCAGCACCATCTGTGTCCCGAGTACCAGAAGTAGCTTCACAAACACTATCACAGTCGTCGTGGTGCTCTCCACGCAGTAGAAAATATTCCACCGCGACTTGGAAATTGGCCATTGTAAACCCCAACGCGGTTGTGTTGGAATTGATAAAGTGGTAGTCCGACATGTACCGCATCACAGCGGCCATGGGGAATTGGGAGACGGGATCGGCAGTGCATTTCGTTGGTGATTGGCGAGACAGGTGACTGTGTGCCTGAAGAAGCACAACCAACAGCTGGTCCAGGATATCATCGGTCGTGAGCTGATACGCCTCTGCGACACAATGCAGTCGAACGACTTTCGAGTCACACTCTCATCACCACGACAACCGTCTGCAAAAACCAGCGACACGCACCGAAATCGAGTCGACGTTGCCTGATGTTCTGCGTAATGGCGTCACTGATTTGGTCCATGCACGTTTTGAGAACAAGCAGCATATCCAATGGCGTCTTCTTGTCCACAACAGTGAGCAGCGTATCCCGTGCTTCAATCACATAGCACTACACACGTACATACACACATTCAGAGCCCCACCCATCCGCGAACATGACCCACAGACACACAGCAATCAGTCACCAAATAGTTAAAAAAAAACTCACGCTGCAAGTACGTTGCCTCGCCCTAGCCCTCGAGCAGCAGCCTCCAGCACTATAAATAGCTCGTTGTTGCGTACCTGAAACTCCTGGCGGATTCCAAAATCTTGGGGCGTGTAGTGTCGCATACGCGACATGACAGTGTGCAACTTCTGATCGAGCTCCCGGCAACTTGCAACGATCCGAGGAAAGATCAGGTCGTGCAGTCGCTCCATCAAGTAACACTCGACGACCTGTTGTAGTTGCAGCAAGTGACCCGCGCGGCCATGCATACTCGACAGCTGTTGTTGTCGTTGCTGTTGTTGTTGCTGTCTTTCTTCGTCTTGACTGTCATTGAAACTGCCCGCGCGGGTCAACTCGCCGACGGCAGCGTCCCACTCTTCCCGTAGAGTATCTGGCAGCGTCTCTTGGTACCGCTCGGTGAACACGCGTTCGTGGGCGCAGATCTTGTGCACCTGATTGATTGTCTCGTTTAAATGGTAAAACACGAGCTCGTTCTCGGGAAACGACCGCAACATGGCGGTGTATTTCCGAAATGTAGCCATGTCCATTTCGTTCAGGTCGTCGGGCACTTGGATACCGCCTTCAAGCGGTCGGCTGATGTGCAACACCGTCACGTGTTGATGGCAGACGTCGCGCCTTTCTGACAGCAAGATCCGCACCTGTCGGGCGTCTGGAAACCCGTCGCTCGTGCGGATATGCGACCCGACGATCGTGACATGTTTCCCTTTCGACAACAGATGTTGACGTGACCATCACTCCTTCGATCGTTCCAGCAAAGAAACCTGTATTTGATGTACAACACACAATATAGAAGCGATAGCTACCATTTAGTGTGCGATACGCGCCGAGACGTTGCTGTGGCCCGTCGTCGTTGATGCCAGTCGGAGTGAGGAGGTGCGTGTACACGACGTTCTGGTCAATTAAATCGTCCGTACGAAGTGAACGGGGCTGGGGCACGCAGAACAAGCAGGTTGGCGCGAGCGCACGCTGAGTCTGCGCCAGTTCGGCAGTTAAGGCACGCAAAAAGTCGTCGCCCATGGTAAAGTCGGGAAGCCGAACTGCAATAGCAGACAGTGAATTCGTGTGTGGACCACATGGATACTTTGGAAATTACACAAGGATCGGCTTGTTGAAGTGACATTCACTCTGCTTTTTGCTCGAAAAAGCGGTTGACCACAATGAGCAGATAGGCGATAGACTATCGGAGTGCGCACTTTGTTCACATTACGAATATGGCCACAACTTCACGTCCAAAAGGACTGTGCTGATGCTCACTCATGAGCAAAGACCGGTATACATTTATTGCCGCCACCGATTTTACGCGCTAATGCGATCTCATCCTGCGTCTTCTCCGCAAGCAGTCTCATAAACTGCATCTGTGCCGGTGCTCACACACTCTCGATGAGCTTTTGCAGCACTTGTAGAAGTGCGTCCATGCTGTCATAGCTCGACTGCATGAACAGTATTTTCGGTACAATTCTGTTGGTCGATTACAGCTACAGGGCAGTGTTGTCGAAAAGTGTATGTCAAGCAAGTCTCAACCCGCCTCATGCTGTGAAGCGAAGCACCGAACACAGAGGTTCAATTGGGCGGTATACCGTGTCGTCGTTTGCACGATATGTAGCGAACAAAATCTTGCACCCGCAACGTCAGCTGATCCGTCTTACTACAACATACTCTCCATCTTCTGGTCGACACAGAATAGCTCGGCCACCAAAAAAATATATTTGCCGCGTTCTGTGAGCAATAATTGAAAACTAGCGGAGCCCATTCGGTCACTCCGATCGATTGCCCTGACCATCACTCTGTGCAACACTCACCCCTTATTGCGCAATCACTACCCTTATCTTGCAACTCCCCAACACTTATGCCACTAATGGCCGCCAAGCCGCAGCTGGACGACGCGATTGCGTACTTACAAGCCGAGATCGCCGCCCTGCGCGCTGGCGAGCGGGACGACAAGCTCGTGACATTGGCTGTTGCTGCAGCAGCAGGCGATCTGTCGCTTCCCGAGCCGCAATTCGCCCCTCTCTTGTCGCTCTGGACGCCCAAAGGCAGTTCGTTCCCGTCCGACTTGGGGGCGCTCGTGGACGAGTACGAAGCTGCTCGACGAGTGGAAGAAACTGAAGATAAACAGGAGCGACGGGAGAGCTATGGCAAGCGACACGTGGAGTCGGCGCTCGAGCACGTGAGAGGGCAGAGGAGACGTCCGAGGACGAGACCGCGAAGGCGGTTCGAAGATATCGAAGAACGAGACACTCGACAGGATGTCGGGGATGGGCTACCGGTGGTATCTCCTCGAGACGATACTGGAGCTACTGTTGGTGCTGCTGCTGCTGCTGGAGAAGGAGGTGCTGTTGGCGCTGCCAAAAAGGGTGAGGAGGGAGGAAAGATTGAGGAGGAGGTCAAGATGGGTGAGGACGTGGACGAGCAGGAGAAGATGAAGCGGGAAAAAGAGAAGAGGGGGCAAGAGAAGACGAAAGAGGTGGAGGAGGTGAAGGAGGTGAAGGAGGAGGTGGAGAGAAATGTGGAGGTGAAAGAGAGGAACGATGTGACGGCGAAGGAGGTCGCAAAGGAAGAAGTGGAGGAGAAAAGGACAGTGGAGGAGGATGGGAGGGAGGTTGAGCAGCAAGAGAGGGAAAATGGGAAGGAGAAGAAGGAGGAGACAGGGGAGAAGCATGTGGAAGAGGTCGAGAAGCTAGAGGAGGTAAAAGACGAGAAGGAGGAGGAGAGGGAGGAGGAGGAGGCGAAGGAGGAGACAAACGAACGGGAAGAGAGGGCGACGGAGCTGGAGGTGGTGGTTGAGGATGCGGAGGAGAAATCAAAGAAGGAGGAGATGGAGGATGTAAAAGCTGAAGAGATGAATGATGTGGTGATGAAAGAGGGGCAAGAGAACGAGGTAGAGAAGACAGTGGCGGAGGACGGCAAATCGATGGAGGAGCAGAAACTGGCGGAGGATGAAAAGTCGATGGAGGAGAAGAAAGTGATGGGTGAGGAAAAGGTTTTGGTGGAGGAGGAGAAGGGGGAGGAGGAGACAGAGGGGGAGAAGAAGGTTGTTGTGGTTGAAGAAGAGGAAAGTAGCGCAAAAGAGCAAATTGTGGTTGACGAGAGGAAGTCGAAAAAGGAGGAGGCAGAGGCTGCGTTGGCGAGCTTAAAGGTGCTGCGGCGGAATATGCTGCTGGACGTGCTGTCGAAGATTGTGTCGGTGGCCAAGAGCAAGGACGTGGATCCCGCCATGTTTACGAAGAAAGTTGGTGACGATCAGATGGGCGTGACGCACCAGGTGGATTTAGAGAAGATCCAGGCGTTCGTAGCAAGTGGCGTGATCTGTGAGTGGGCGCAGTTTGCAGAGCAAGTGTATCTTTTCTGTCAGCACGTCGTGACGGACGCTGAGCGCCATGAGCGGCTTGAAGCAAGGAGAAAGGGCGTTGAGCTGCTGCATTTTGCGAGGACGCTGACGGAGACGCTGCGTAAAGCCAGCATCAAGAAAGAGGACGTTTTGCTGCAAAAGATACGCGAAGCAGAAGAAGAGGCTACGGCTCGTAAGGAGAGAGACGAAGTCGCTTGCAAGAAAGAAGCAAAACACACCCACAAAGCTGAAGAGGCTGTATCAGGCGAAACCAGTCATCGAGCTGTGGAAGATACTACTGACATGAACGACTCGGATGGCAAGACACTTGCTGGTGAATTCCTCGATCTACGTCTGCTTTCGCCCACGCGCGCATCAACTCGGATTCGGAAGCGCACGAGTGTCACGAGCGATGGCCCTGGCTCTGCGGCCCCCTCTCCTTCCTCGCAGAAAACGCGGAAACGAATACGAGGTGCATCCGTTTCTGCAGCCTCCGCAAGCGAAGAAGTGAGTGCGTCAGAAAGCCACGATGCGTCGGCTTCTGAAGCAGACCCGAAGTCACGTCGACCTCACAATACGTCCAAGACTCCTGCAAGGCGTACACCAGCACGCAGGCGCCGACCGTTAATGCCAGCAACACGAATCAGCTCACGTCAGCAAAAACGGCGGGCAGTTGCTGCGGCAGCTGCAGCTGCTGCAACTAGCGCAACTAGCGCTGGTAGTGGTAACGAAGAGGGGAACAGCGGTGGTGAGGCTCTGTCCTTGGTTCTGGAAAGAGAAGGCAACGATGCTGCTGTGGAGCAAAATGCTGAAGAGATGAAGATAGAAGGTGATGTTGAGCAGAAGCAGGATGAGGAGGAACCGAGCACACCGAAGAAGAAGAACACCGCGCCACGATCGAGGGGCAGAAAGAAGGGCGGACGAAAGCGATGAGCGGTGCAATTTGACAACGCGTTAGTCGCTCACTCGTAGCACGTGTAAAGCCCTGTGACAATGTGCGCGCCACTTCAGGCCGCCTGGATGCCATGTTCGATGCGGCCAGGCTACTGCGCCTTGGCCACGTGTTTCTCAAACAGCGAGATGAAGTAGTTTGGGTCTGTGATCGCTTCAATGGGCTCCACGCGCTGCAAGTACTTGTGCCGAGTCTTCTCAAAGCCCATTGGAGTTCCTGAACGCACGTCGCGTACATCCACAATATGTGCGTGATGGGCCTCAATGTGGTCGTCAAAAAATACAACGACCTCGCCGTGTTTCGTCACTTTTTCTTCGTCCACGAGCAGTAACTTTCCATACTGGCCGTCTTCAGCATGGGCGCTCCACCACTCCCAGTAATCACGGAGCGCCAGCGTACTGGCCTTGTGGAACATATCCTCCAGCGTGTCCTGAATCGGCTCGAAGCCACGAATGACTTCAACTGTCTCGTCCAGCGTTGCGTAAAAGCTATTGGGTGCACTCGCACCGTCTTGTGCGAGCGTGGTGGAAACCGGCACTTTCGCCAGCGTGCCCACGGCCAAAGCCGTACCGTCCGCTCCGAATCCATCGCGGTAAAACGTACCAACGCAACGTGCATCGGGCGTCAAGTCGAGTCGAAAATGCTCCGGCAGCGCTGGCAGGCCAACAGGGTGTTGCCCATTGACCAAGAGATCCAATTCCCGCTTGACTTCAACAATATCGTCGCCAAAGGTCCGGAACACGAGCTTCACGTCCAGCTGTTTCTCCGTCACTTTCGGCGACGCCAAGTAGCACAAGAAGTGCAGAAACGACGGCAGCAGGTAGTACCGGCCTTGCTGCCAAGCTGCTTGCAGACGAGACGGTGGCATCACTGTCGCCAAATGGGTTGCCGCATCGCGCTGTGTGCCGACTGGGAACTGCAATGCACGCATCACGGCCGCAAACGACGACTGGACAGGCTGGCCAGGTGCATCGGGTGCACCGGTAAACGCCGACTGCAACGCCGTGCGCTTGTGCTTGGCTGCCTTGTTGATCGCTTTGATGTGGTCGATAGCGTGTCGGCTGTCGCGCGTGGAAGCTGCGCTTGCATATGGGTACAGGTCATCGACAAATTGTTTGTAGGTTATCAAGCGCTGCTGGTCGAAGTTCATCGTTGGTGGTGTTGTTGTTGTTGTTGTTGTCGGTAGGGCAGCGGGTGGCGTATGAGACGAGGCAATTGCGTTGCATGTCCACGTGGGTGGACTGGACGAGTCCGTCGTGGCGTAGCCATATGTGCACTCGGAGAGGAGGTAATTGACGGTATCTTCCATGGTCCGACCACCTGCTGCGTCCGACATGAGGATCGTGCGATTGATGTCAAAGTGCAGCACAATGCGCTGGCGGGTACTTTCTGCGGCCATGGAGAAAGGAGCACGTGCGCGGTACACTCGGGACGTCGTGACGACCGCCGAGACAGCGGATATGGCTACACCCGAAGCAAAATGGGTCCGAACGACATGTGCGATCGACGTGCGCGGTGTGTAGAGCTCCCTTTCTTGAGTGCCATGTCACTCACTACGAATCGAAGGTCTGTTTGTGCAAAAGAGACGCGACGGAACGTCATTTTATAACAAGCAAATGGCCGAGATTGTCATCACTTTTGTGCTTTTGCTGTGTTTTGTTTTGCTTTCTTTGTGTTACAACACTGACATGGCACAAAAGAAGGATTACCACATGGACAACCAGTGCCAGCGTCCAGTGCCTGGAGATGGCAAGACCCCTCGAGCTCCTCTACTTGTTGACGCCGAGTTGGAGCTATTGCGAGCTCTGGAAGAAGACGTATTGAAAGAACGAGCGAGCGAAGAGGAAAAGGAAAAGGAGAAGAACGTGGAGAAACATGGGGGAAGAGGTCCGATTCGGGACGACGATGACGAGGATTATGACGACTCGGACGACGAGTGACAAGAGATACAAATGAGTGGTGGCGTGTGTACAAGTAGACCAAAAGCGTAGTCTCTGAGTAGGTACAGAATGGACAAACCGGAAGTTAACGTTGCAGTGCAGAGTCGTGTGTGTGGACATTGCGAGCGATACTGTCTCAAGCAGGAGCTGCTGTACACTAGACGTTGACCACCATGTTCGTAAAACGACAAAGTCGATCGCAAGTGAAGGATTCAACGTCATGTCGGTATCATCGCCATGTCTCTTTACGTTCACACGACGTGCCCTCTATGTGCCAAGCTACATTTTGTTTGTCCTTTGCTGAGCCGTATGCACACTGCGTGCGCTGGACGTCGCTTGTGATGTGAAGCATTCGTGAGTCATTGTCCAGATGAGCGGTATGTTGGGGACAAGTTTGACGAAACTACATTACATGGCAAAGGGTCGGGCAACGGTCCCGAAGAACAAACACATAAGATTGGAAAGCCGACTTACTGGTGCTCGTCGTGCGAGCTGCTGTAAAAACTTAGTCTTACTGGGATCTCCGAATGATTAGTACATGATGGTCGAGATCGTCAAGTTCGTAATGCGCTGCCCGACTTGCTTGACATGGAAAAGGACTGGGGGATACAAGTAAGGTTGATTGTGTTCGGCACGAAAGATAATGGCTTCGTGTGTGTTAATCGGCTAGCAATGTGGCCAGAAGGCGGTCTCTGCATATGCCTACCACGACAGTTTGTCGACACTATTCGTGATCACGATATACTGACGTCTGTCTACCTCCTTAACCGTCGCAGCGCTCGCCGACAGCATCGCGATAGCGACTCAGCCACAAGACCAAAATGAAAAAAAAGCATTGCAACAAGCTGTGTAGTGCGAAAGAGTGTGGTTGCTCAGAGGGGTCAGTTGGGTATGCAGAGTCTGTAGCTGTGAGCAACGTAGCACGAATGAGGCGCTGGACGTGTCGTGGTAGGTAGCTGATGGATGGTAATATGTATTTCCCGTCACCTACCTACACACTCACTTGCGTTCATTCTAGCTGGTAAAGTCGCGCAAAACCGTCGCGGTGACGACGGCCGCAACAATCATAGTCTTTGCCAAGGTCTATACTACACTTATGCTGAAGCGCATGTATACAATCGACACTTACTGCTTCCTCATGTGCGCATGATGAGCAGCTAAGCTTTGTTTCTCATCGACAAAGACGTTCAATTGCGAGCACTTTCTACTGTATCTACCCGTGATCAGGACTAAGCAATATGCTACACCAAGCCAGCTCAGATGCTGCGACAGACTCGACGACATGCGGGCCACAGGTCATTTCCAAACTTCTGTCAGAGTCGACTTTGCCTGACGGAAAGCTCGTGGGGAATAGCTTCGCCTTCCAATGTGATTGGAAGGACGGCGATAGATCACACGCGTGTCAAAGAATGTCATGATGCAGGATGCTGCACTCACGGCAAGTTGTCATCTCTTTGCAGTTCGCTTGAGTTCCATTGCAGACGTTGCAAGGCAAATGAGTATCACTGTTGTCGATGTTGCTCGTGCTGCAAGTTCGATCAAGTCAATTGGTATATCGTAAATGCCCGCGATGTAAATTCTGTATGATGTAGACCAGAAAACAGCGCGCGACACGAAGATTGCCATCGACGGGATCGACGCTCTTCATATATATCACAGCGCGCGTCTGTAGTCTCGTACTGGGTCCGACCTATGTCGTCTGTTCAATGACAAGTCATGGATCTCGCCAGAGCTGAGCTGAGCTTCGGGACCAGTCTTTCTATACGTCAGTTCTTCTGCCAATATGTCTTGTGCAACGTCTTCTAGCGCTACATGCTCAATCTCTTTCGAGGCGATCCTCTCTCGCCTCTGTGCTACGACAGTTATCCCCAGGACTGCTCATCGCTGACATCACGCCGTATATCCTAAATACCGTCGATCGTAGTGGAAGTGATGCTCAATACGGGTTCCGAGCAGTCCTGCCAACTTGACACCCTGACTAGAAGTCGATCGTACGACACTTTGTCTATCGACTCGCACCACTACACTACAATTCGATCCACGCACCATGTTCTATGCGTGCACGTCCATGAAACTCAAGCTAACAACTCTGTGCCATGACGCGCTTCAAGCAGCCGTGAACGTCAGGGATGGGATGCATAAACACATGCTGAGCCTTCGCTGGGTACAGCACAGCTTCAACTTTGTCTTCAACAAGCGATCAAGGTACGATCGCGGCACCATCGACCAACTGTGGCATGTACTACACGTGCGCATATTACGTGTGTCAGTTTGCTCGTTGATGGTACACTTACGCAGCTGACTGAACCGGATCGAGCGTGTACCTGTCGTAGTACAGCCAGTAGCTCTTCCCTTCGGCATTGAAATCGCCTCGTTCACTCAATAGGGCGGCCATTTGATACACAGAGCGTGACGCTCAAATCTCACGTACTCCTACAGGAGTACGTGAAAGCACTGCATCACATCGTCAAGTTGTGATGCGTCAGGCTGCGTCCCATGCACATGCCCCGCTTCTGCATGGACCATCTCGTACACTGACAACAGCTGCTTGCACTTGCGAGTTCTTCCCGTCCACTCAGTATCATATAAACACTGCTCATGTCAACCCGAACTCGAGACACTGCTGCGCTTACGTGCTTGCTGTGCCTCGAAGATCGCTACAGAAGGCGACTTTGATCCAGACATTCGTGTTCCTTGGCTCTATCTGCCGTCGACGTGCCTTGTGGACGACATGTAAACACTAAGGTGCAAAGCCAATGGTCGATATGCATCGATACTGCCTCCTGGTCACGAGAAACGTGCTCACTGAGGCATACACAAAGCAAGCGAGACGCATGCCCTACTTCACGAACGTGCCAACGCCTCGTGATCGCCATCTCGACGCCTTACGGCGGACACTGTCCGTCTTAAATAGCGCACCCTTTGTGTCGTCTCCCGAATCGAGCCCACATCTTTCCCAGCACCTTGTTTTCGCAAAACGCCACACCGTGTTTTGCTAAGCGGTCCAGACGCCCAACACAACAGCGTCTTGCTCGATTGGCTACTTATGCACCAACAAACGCGACTGCTCGACTCACCGCAGCCGCTCTCGACAAAGTATCCAGCCACGCGTGACACGCACGCGTCCATCTGATCCCGTGGACCCAAAACAACTCTCAGTCCTCGTTTTGTTGACTGGTGCACAAGCGCCGCCCGCGTGTGTGTGATGCTCTTTCGTCAACTCACAACTCGAAGTCGCATGGCGTCTTCTCAATGCGCCGCCGTCGCGCGCACGTTCTCCACGTCGACCTCTTTGGCTGAGATTCAGCATACGAACCTCAAGATCGAGCGCACGTCGGTGCCGAGACCCAAAATACCAAAAGAAGAGCTCCGCTTTGGCAAAACGTTCACCGACCACATGCTGGAGATTGACTGGGACATGGGCAAAGGGTGGGGCCCGCCGGTCATTCGTCCATACGGTCCGTTCTCAATGGACCCCGCAAGTGCCGTGTTGCACTACGCGCTCGAGTGCTTTGAAGGCATGAAGGCGTACGTGGACGGGGAGGGTCGTATGCGACTCTTTCGTCCGGACATGAACATGAAACGCCTGAACCGGTCCATGGAACGGCTGTTATTGCCGACGTTCGACGGTGACGAACTGGTGAAATGTCTCATGGATCTGATTCGACTGGACCGCGACTGGATCCCACAAGGCGATGGCTACTCGCTCTATATTCGACCAACGGGGATCAGTACCCAGGCTTCAATTGGCGTGGGCACGAGCGAGAAAGCCAAACTCTTTGTCATTTTGTCTCCAGTGGGGCCGTATTACCCGGAAGGGTTCAACCCCGTGAAGTTGTGTGCCACGGACCACTACACTCGAGCGTGGCCCGGGGGCACCGGTGGCTTTAAAGTTGGCGCCAACTACGCGCCGGGCATTCTCCCGCAATACGATGCCAATACACGGGGCTACTCGCAGAACTTGTGGCTCTTTGGTCCCGAGCACGAGATCACGGAAGTGGGCACGATGAACCTCTTTGTCCACTGGATCAACGAACAGGGCGAGCAAGAGCTCATTACGCCGCCCCTCACGCGTGGCGATATTCTGCCAGGCATTACGCGGGACTCGATCTTGACGTTGACCCGTGAGTGGAACGAGTTCCAAGTCACTGAGGCCAACATCAACATGAAACAGCTCCAAAAAGCCAGCAAAGAAGACCGCGTGCTCGAGGTCTTTGGCTCGGGCACTGCTGCCGTCGTCTCTCCTGTTTCCACCATCAACTACATGGACGAGGACCTGGCGATCCCGCTCACTGGCACGGACGGCAAAGCCGGGAAACTTGCCGAACGTATCTGGAACGAGCTGTCTGACATCCAGTATGGCCGTCGGGACCACCCGTGGTCCATTGTCGTGGACTAAGCGACGAGCAAAGAGAGCTCTAGCGCGTGTGGCTGCTGCAACAAAAGAGACCGTTATGTCGGACACGTAATGGATACTTTTGTGGTCGAAGACGGTGCGATACGTGGACCATCTGGTGCGAGAGAAGAAGAAGAAGAAGAAGTAAAGAAGAATGCGATTCTTTTTGGTTCGAAACGGCTGACGCTTGTTTTTTTGGTTTTTTATGTGTTTTTTTGCCTCTGCACGTACGTTCGTTTTCTTCTGTTGTCTGCTGCAGTCCAGTGGCTACGGCGCTGTTTAGCATTATCGGTTGGACGTTTTTGTCACGGGCTCTGGAGTTGCTTGGTCCGTCCCGACACGAGGGGCGACGAGGTTCTGGTTGTCACGGTTGGGTCTTGGATCGCACTTGATTTGCGCTGGTGGCGGCGTTTTTTATGGTCGAACACGCGTTGATTGCGTACCGAGAGCTGGCGATGGTACTCGCAGTAGCTATGCATGGACCCGTTCTTCTTGAGTGTCCGTAGGTGAAAGCACTTGCCCCGACGATAGCGACACTGAAAGTCAGCAGCGCGTGCAGTGTCCAACTGGCTATTGTTGGCGTCATTTTCCATGTCGAGACTGGCGAACGCTGTGACAATTTCGTTGGCACTTGCACGGGTCATGGCAGCATCAGAGGTCGGTAGCTGCTCGAATGTAACGTCATCGAGAGGAGGTAGTCCTCCTAACGTCATGGAAGTATCCAGAGGTGGCCCGCGTGTGGAACTAAACTCGACGTCCGTATGTGGTACAGTCGGAGATGCGATTGGCGCACTGGCGATGGTAAATACATTGGGTTCCATGCGACGACTGCGGTCCTGTTGCAGGACGCGCATAGTGTGACGCGAGCCACCGATTGCAAAATGACGACCGACGGCAAATAAGAAAGCGAGGCGACGGCATGTGGGCCGCCGACGACTGTGCGAGTTTGCATAGGCGGCGGCGACGTGGAGCATCTGTGATATCGAGAAAGTCGGCCAGGACTGTACATGTGGGACTTGCGTACCGCTCGCTTCCTCCTGTGGGAATGGGATCGTGGACTCGTTTCGTGGGGGTGCGGTTCGTTTGAAGTGACTGATCACGTAAGACAATGGCACTTTCCATGTTGTCGGGACTTTGAGTTGCACTGTTGCAAGACCACTTACGACTGATGCGGATACGTCAGTCCAAACGGCAGACTTTGTACGTTTACGGCTGCGGTCGATGGACCTCTTTCGTCGGTGCTGTATCGAATGGCGTGACGTACTGAGTGTCGCGCAGCAATAGCAAATGTGTCGACTTGTCAATGGACAGTTAGTTGTCAGTATACGCTATGCGATTGCTGCAAATGTTTCGGTGATACGCAAGTGCAAACTCGATTGCTGTTGCGTACACGCAGTCATGAAAGCATTGACAGCGGTAGAAGTTGGTGCATCTGCGACGCGATCCCGAGCGTCTTGCACGAGCCCTTTGGTAAGTGTTGGATGCAAACAACTCGTCTCGAACTTGGACGTTGTATGTGTCGAGAAAAACAGCACCAAATGGCACCGTCGTCCACGGCTTTGTCTTGTGGCTTGAGGACAGACGTGCGTCGGTATCGTTCATTGCCTTTGAGTCAACGTCTGGCTCGGAGCAAGGTACGTGAAGGCTTTGTAGCACGTATCGCGCGCTACAATGATAATATCCTGCGACTTCGGACGGCTCATGTTTGTCGTATCAACATGTGACCAGCTCCTTTTCCGACGATTTTGGCTTATGTTCTTCTGTTCAAGTGCAGAGGCTGAGAGCAAACTGATGTATCTTTGCTTACCAGACACGTATCTGTACGCGACGATCGAATACCAACGTGTTCATGCCACGCATTCTGCCCTCACGCCGTTGCCACTGGGCCTCGTTGTTGAAGTTGTTGGCCCTTCAGCTGAATCAGTCGAGACGCTACGTCCGACAGGCGCTTCATCGTGGCATACTGAGACCGCGTCAAGTCCGCATGGACGGTCGAGTCGGTACAGCACAACGTGCCAACCGATATCTCGGTCTCTGGTCCTTCAGTACCACTTGACGTCCGCACGATGACGGGGAACCCCACGTAGTGACGAATCGGGAGCACTTGAACGGCTTCGTTTCCTTGGAAACGCACGTCGGCCTCTGGGTGCGTGACCAGAAACGGTCTCGTCGTCATGATCGTATGTTGGCAAATCGTTTGTTCCCGAGGGAGGGCAGTATGTAGGAACCCTTTATTCGTTGCCGTTAGAATGTGGTTGTGCTGGACGCCCATGACCGTCACAAACGCGTCGCTGAACCCCGTTGCCCGTACGGCCAATTGACAAAGCAGATCCAAATCGCGAACGTCGCACAGGTGCTCAAACGACTCGAGAGACTGTAGCGGGGCCAAGTGATGCGCCAGCTGGAGCAACCCCTTGTCGGTAGCGACCTTGAGGCGATCGGAATCGTGGCTTGGAACCACACTGCACGGCACCTTTGACGCTGGGTCGTCCGGTAGATCAATCAAATACTCCCGTCGATCTGCACTCGCCAGAGTGCACGACTTGAGCACTGGCAATTGGCTCTCGTCGCTCAGAAACTGTGCCAGTTGCTTCACCGCAACGCCATCCGTTTGCTGCGCGCTCTGTCGACGCATCACATCGTCACTCTGATCACACTGACCTGAGTGTTCCATGCAGTTGGCTTTGCTTTGTCGAAGAAGTAGTCGAATCACGAGCAGAATCGCCGCTCGATCCGAAGCATCAGCCGAAGCGTTCATCAACGAGGCTTCGAGGAACGCCGTTAATAGAGGAGCTACCGACTCTTCGGGTTTATCAGCAACCACCTTTGGCGCCCTTCGGGGCGTCGCACTGCTGTTGGCAGCAGAGACTTCCGAGTAATCACAAGCTTGAACACACGCGTAGCATCGATTGCAAACCACAATAGACGCCACGCGCCCTACGGTGCTTTCCATGTATTCCGCTTGCCAGCAGTCAAGACACACGAGGTATCCGCAGAGGTAGCACCGACGCGTGTCCATTCGAAACGACCGCAACTTTCGCTTGGCAATCGCCGAAGCCGCCATGAAAAGCGACATCTTGACACGGGCTAAGCTATGTGTGCAGCACGGGCACCGCGTGTTCGCTGCGTGCACTTTGTCAAAGTCCACGGGCACTTGGACGCCAAATCGACGACGGCGAATGAGGTGCGGGAGTTTCGTAATGCCTCGCGCCAGCGACAAGAGGCGACGCAATCGAGCGTTCGAGTCGGTCGTCTCGCTATCAATGACAATCGAAGTACTCGTTGACGACAGTGCACTGCTCAACCCAAAGCTCCGTCGTCGACTAAAGCTTCGACTCGACATACTTCGGGTACTGCCTGCAATTACCGTCTCGGAATTCGAGACCCCTTCAAACCAGACATTGTACACCACGCGCAGTGCTTTTCGGTTTGGAACGTGGTCCACGAGGATCGACGCGTTCAGTCCGTGCAGTTGATCCACGCGGGCATAGACTCCAACGACGCGACCGGGTGTGGGTTCCATTGGCGGCAGCGCTCGCTGCGAGATGGTAAACCCGTCTCGCGCTTGCTTGCGCTGGAAAAAGTCCAAGAAACACCATTGCTCGTTCCGGGCAAACGGCGTCGACCGCGTGAAGCTAATGGACTTGACACTGAGCTGTTCGCCAGCATCTACGTCCGAGTCGTCGTCAGGTTGCGGCGACGATCGCTTCAGTGTACATGGGATATCTCGATCGAGGGACCCAAAGATAAACGACTTCTTGTACAGCCCCTGCATTGTGCTTGCGAGATCGACTTCCGACCTCGCGCGCAGCACTGCTGCTACCTCTTCGATACTCGCATCCAAACGGCCAGCACACATGACATCGAGTCCAGGAACGCGGCTTTCAATTGCTTTGGCCGAAACGTGACGTCGGAAAATGACGAATCGATCGGCTGCTTCGACCCGTTCCCAAGGTCCGTTCTCTTCGGGGCCAGCGGACAGCGCGTCAAAGTCTATGGCCCGATGGGCCGTTTGCGCGCGGTCGAGTAGCTCCGCATCGGATGGCAGGTGGTAATAGGACTTGGTCAAGTCAGAAGAACCTCGGGTACTTGCAGTTGCAGTTGTAGTAGTTGTTGTTGTAGTAGCAGTAGATAACCCGAGAGTGTTTGATGTTGGAAACGAGGGCGCCGGATGGACGTTATTGGAACTACTGTGGACAGAGCTGCAGTTATGGTCACTGCCATGTTGACGTTTGTGCATATCGTCGTCGGGCGTGTGGCGCAGTTTGAGAAAGCTCATGTAAGTCGATCGATTCCAAGAGACCGTTTGTTGGTCGGGGTTCAACGCACTTTTCAGACTGAGGACGACAGTGCGATGAAAGGAGAAGACAAAGCGGCACACGACGCAAAGCGAGACATGCACAATGAGGGAGGAGGAAAAAATGAGACGGCCCAGGTGGGGCGCGAGACACACCTTGGCAGTCGTCAGGAAGCCACCACGAATCGACCAGCCGTCGTTTTGTCTTGACTTTGCCTCGAGACGACGGCACACGAGGCGAGAAGGTCGTTGTCGCATAGATATTTGCGTGGAAGTACGCGAGGGAGTTCAGCTGTCCCGACCGTTCACTGGCCATGTGACGGTTGGGATTGGGGGAGTCGTTATCGCGACGACGAGCGCGAGGAGGACAACGTGGTCCATCAACTGGGTTTCCCAGGAAGTTTACTCACGTGATACGATGACCGTGTCAAGAGGAACGCGGACGCGGCTACAAAGTCACACCACACCCTCTACGCAGAGCAAACGCGAAAAGAGGGGGATGTCCGTTTCTTCGTTCTGTATCCCAAGAACAAGTCGAGTCCTCTCTCTCTCTCTCGAGCCGTTTGTTCGGATAAGGTTTGGCCTTCGCCATCGACTCACGTGCGTCTTTCGCATAAGATCAGTGCAGTAAACGACCAGACTGTCATGCGACGAACACGCGCTGTCTTTCTGTTTTGCATTGGCACGAACGTGTTGAGTTGGACTATATACGTCGTGTGAGTCGAGAGCAGTCGGCTTTCGAGTACAAACGTGCACTGCGGTACCCCTTACTACCTTTTTGTAAGCACTTCATGCTGAACGTACGCTTCGTAGCGTGTGGGAACTTGTCTGTTGCTCAGCACTATGGTCGTTCGTTGAGATAGACTGATGTAGATAGACTGGAGTAAGACTGCGACATGGAGACGACACGAACTCGCGCTTCACATCTTCCGACGTTGGAGTCAGTGGATAGTGCCGCGTTCTTGTGAGAATGTGGTGAGCTTTGTAGTTGCTGTGGCACAAGCCGAGAGGCTGGAGGCGCTGATGTTCGAAGGACTTTTCTCCGATCGGGTTCATCGACACTGACGAAACAGGGAGCAGTGGGTAGTTGTGGCATCTGCACTTGACACATACACTGCTGTAGAAGCACTGCGTCGCGTTCGAGCGAACGAATGAGCTCGTTGATCAAAGTGGAAGGGAGTATACATGTACGAGAGGATCTCTGGCTGCTGCTGCTGCTGCAATGATAAACGCGCCTGCTCGATAGTCGTTTTGTCGACCAAGTGAGCCGTAGCTGCACATCAGTCAGTACTCAAGGGCTGTACCATCTCCATGTGACTGCTCTCACGGTCCATCACACTGCGCTGGTGTAGTAGTCAACGCATGGTGTCTTGCCGACATCTTTTCGATGCACAATGCACGAACGCCGAGGGCCCTTCACGTGCTCCTTTTCGTGCTTTGTGTACGGAGTATGACAACTTGCAACGCGTAGTGCCATGCAAGTAGCGCAAACGGAATGCACTCCGGTAAAAGCAAACTCAGCATCTTTCTGGGGCTCGCAACACGCACAATGAAGCTGCCACATTCGCTAGCAACTTAGCTTGGAACTCATGCGGCATGATCGCCATTGCGAACACATGCCCGTAAACAACTGGCTCTGTGGTTAAGCACTCACTGGTACATGGCTGAGAAGGAAGGCATAGCATGCAGCATACACACCGAAGACAATCTGGCTTCTAGCACCGACAGTATGCCGTTTCGAGGAATACGTAGGCCTATCTACAAAAGTCTCTGTGCTGGTCGTCACTGCTTCTGTCGCTTTGTGCACACTTCGAGCTCGATCGTGTGGCAAGCACGTAAACATCGCACCGATACACGCCACACGCAGGGCCAAGAAAGCATCGACAGTGTGACGGTACTGTCATAGCCACCTTTCCACTGATTTCACGCCTCTTCCTTCTGCTGTGCTTGTCGTCGTGCTTGATTCTGTCTTTGCATCGTAATGGATAGCCTCACATCTGCCACAACAGTCTTTCCTGCCATGCGCACGAAGGCTATCGCACAAAACGCGCGAATCGTCTCAGCTCAGCGTCTCACGTTGCGCTGGACGAAGGAAGCTCTTCCCTACCGCAAGTACGTACGAGCGTATTTGTAAAGACCTCCCTCCATAACAAGTAAGTCATCAACCAACACGCTTTGCACTCCGCGCAAATCGCCTTCGTCTTGATCCATTCTCCCGCCCACTACAATGCTCTAATGCGTCTTCACGGGGCTAATCGCTTGACCCAGCAGCACAAGCGATAGGCAGTCGTCGGTTGACCGGTGCGAGCGAAACATTGTCCAAGGATCATCGATAGCCACACATTGGTCTCCTCGCTGCTGGTGGAACAGGCAGTTACAACCTAAAACGAGAACTTGGATCGTCCATCGCATCGTGCCCCAGCTCTTTGTGGCAACAGAATCACGAACTGTACCTGCTGTGCCAGACGTCGTCGTTTTGCGTGTCGACAGGACACGTACTCGTCACTGCCACCCGAGCGCATCCCGCATCAAGCGAACAGCAACACGTTTTCGGCAGGAGCAATGACACACCAGCTAGTTGTTACCTGCACGCCTAGAAGACTCGCGTCAAGCAAATAAACAATCGCTGAACGCGTTCCCCTCTATCGCTATCCCTCTCTCTCTCTATCGCGCTTGGCTGACTGAACATCGCTTGCCTGACTGGATCTGTTCGATGGTCAAGTCCCGTGATCAAGTAGGCAGCAAACGTCGAGTTGACAGGTCAGCGATCAGTAGCACTGAGAGGCGGAGCAACGCCAACGAGGGAACGACACGGCCACCAAAGGGCGGTGTGGGTCAGAGGCCTATGATTACTCCGATCGCGACCGCCGTCACGTCGACGGACAAAACCTCGACGTTTTCCGGACATTCACTGGCGGGAATGACGTTGCGAGCACACGGGGACAGACAGACAGACAGACACGCGGTCGTCCTCTCGTATAGACTCGAGAGACGAGCGACTTGTCTATCGCGATATCGCAATCAACGTGTGGTATGGTCAGACGTAACAATATAGACGGACCGCCTGCTGGATATGGAAAGTGACAGGCTAAAGCGTGCGACACCACGCACGCTTTTCAATGGGATGTGGAGCTCGCTCGCTCGCTCTCTCGCGCGCGCGCTACCAATCCATCGTCGGCACCGGTCGTTGTCATTCCCCAGTCTGCGTTCTCAGACTCAAGTCGAGACTTTAGTTTGCCCCAAGACGACCAGACGGACTCGTAGCCTCCATGGGTTGCGCGCAATCGACTTCTGCCCTGGACCCGTCGTTCGAGGTCGACGCCGCGAAGAAGGCTCAGACGAACGAGACGTTTGCTACTACTGAACCGACGGACGAGTCAATGGTCGTCGACGTTGCGAGCAAATTGGCTGAAGCTGCAGGAGAGGCCAGGGCTGAAGAGACGTCGGTCATGAAACTAACGGTCGAGGAGCTCACTACGAGCGACGTCGAAGTCGTCGAGAAAGAGGAGCTCCGAATGGAGGAGCTCAGTGCCGAGCCGGTTACAAACGAGGACAACGACACGGACGAGCGTCAGAACGCACAAGGAGACTGAGGAACCGGCGCCATAAGTTGCCAGCTATGCTGACAAGAGACTCACTTACACCCACTCATAGAGAGAGAGAGGCTCGAGCGTTGTTTTTTTTTCTTCATCTTCTTACTAGTTTACTTTCTAATGACCATATGTGCATGTTTTTTTTTATTGTTACTCGCTCGTACTTGTACCGGCTATGAGAGCCCCAGCTGGCTGAATCATATGGTGCTCCTTGCACCCTGTGCGTACGACCTACCCCTCCCCCTCTCACACATCAGCTATCAGAGGTGTCGGCCAAAACAAGAGGACGGCCTCTTGCTGCGCCAAAACGGGTATCGTTGCGCAATCACTTTGGAAGGGGATGGATGATGTACCCATCTCATGAGCAGCTCCATTCCGCGACCCTTCAAGCCGCTCGCGTATCTTGTCATTCTTTGCTTCCGTGCCCGCCTTTGTCATGGCAACGCGTGCCCGTGTCAACTCGTCGCTCCGTGCGCAGCACATGCCGTCGCACTTTCGCCACATCGAGGGCACGTTCACGAACGCGCGCGGGCAAAACTTGTCCTACTTGGCGCTGTTCCCACCGCTGGACGCGCCGCTGCGTGCGTTCGTGCTCTACTTGCACGGCATTGGCGACCACAGTCGCCGCTACTTTCACCTCTACGAGCGCCTGTGTTCGAGTGGCTTTGGCGTGTTTGCCTACGACTTGGTAAGTCACGGCGCGAGTGACTCGGACCGCCACGGACTGCGGGCGCACAGTGCCAAGTTCCAGCACTTTGTCGACGACACAAACGAGTTTGTCGCGCTCGTCAAGTCGCAGCTGATAATGCAATTGGGACTCGGCTCGTACGCGCTGGCCGATGCGCCGCCATTTCTCTTGTCCGGCATGTCGTACGGGACATTGGTGGGGCTGCACACCATATTGAGTGGTCAACACACGTTCCACGGCCTCGTGCTCGTTGCGCCGGCGCTATTGGTCGAAATGACCACCATCTTGCGCATCCAGGCCGTGTTCGCGCGGCCCCTAAGTACGCTCGTACCTAAAGCGCGCATTGTGCCGGGCGTGAATGGCGCCTTTTTATGTCGCGACCAAGCCTACCTCGACGACTTTCGAGCAGACCCGTTGACGGTATCAGAACCGGTAACTGCCCGCATGGGCGCTGAGACATTGAAAGCCATGAAAGCGCTTGAGACAGACAGGCGGGTGCAAGCACCGGATAGTGTGCTGGCCACTGTACCGATTTTGATGATGATGGGGTCGAACGACAAAGTCACGAGTTTGGCACTGGCCCAAGTGTTTTTCCAGCGCCTGGCAACGCGCGACAAGGAGTTTAAGGTCTTTAACGAGTTCTATCACGCGCTGTTTGACGATCCCGAGCACGACGCAGTGTTTGACTATCTGGAAAACTGGTTGGTCCAGAGGTTCCCATTGGTGCCGAGACGAAGCAACGAAGCAGTTGACACGGAGTTTCAAGGGGGAGAAGAGACGGGTGGGGTTGCGACTGGTGCTGAGGGTGTCGATGCGAAGGTGTTAGAGAGCAAGAGCAGCGTGACGGCGGAGACTGTTGATGATGCTGCACAAGCGACATTGACGAGTGTGGAAGTGAAGGAGGAGCGTGCGACGGCTGATGTGCTGGCGACCGATGGATTGCGAGCGGAGACTGCTGAGGCTTTTGTTGCATTAACGGCCGAGTCGACGGCTACGACGGTCGGAACGACTGCTGTTTCATTGGCGACGGAAAAGTTGAGACAGGTGAAGTTGTTGAGGCTGCTGAGATAGCTGTGGAGACCAAGGATGAGCTTGCCAGTGCAAAGGTTGAGCATGATGATGATACTGCGGGCGTGAGCAATACGAGTGAGAAGGACGAGTCAGCTTTGGGGACTGTCACGACGATCGAAAGCAACGGCAACATGGCGCAAGTGGTAGCAACGAAGGTCAGTGCTTATGGAAGCAGTGAAGCTCGGAAGACTGGAGCGTAGGAGAGGACGAGTGCAGCATAGTGCGTCAAGCTGAAAGCCAAGGTCTTGAAACGTTGAGGGTTGCAAGACTGGCAACGCGATTGCATTTGTGCTTGCCGGGACAATGCGTTAGCTCAGCTGTACAAAGCGCCAGGCCATGTACTTTCGATGCTTGATGGTCGCCAAGATAGTTTGTCTCGCCCGGATCTCGAGAGGTATGCATCCTCTACCCAAAGTCCTCTCCCATTCGACTTTGGCTGACCAGCACAGCAGATCAACTGTATTCTCTACACCTTCCACGACATCAATCCACTGACAACTTAAGTGTCGAATATACCACCAACATTTGGTAAGCAACAGATGCTCTACTAGTCATCGCTTTCATTCCTTGCCCACCAAGCTGAATCACGGCCGTCACAATGATACACCTATGATGTTTCTGTGAGCTTGTAAGCTTGCTTCTATCGCTCAGCGAGCACTGCAATATGGACTATTCGACCTTTTCTTCGCTCTCGACAACAGCTAATACGAAAGTACGCGACTCCATCGTGCCCTGCCGTCGCAAAGTATTCACGATAAGAACGACATGTGTTTCTGAACCAGAATGCAATCCAACATTATGCTAAATGAGGATACGTCTTACCATAGGATAGACAGTGTGGGCGTGTGATACACGAACAAACGGTCAATGTTGATGCCAGCATCAACTCGCCAACGCGCTATCGTACAATCAATCGAACACTTTCGATTACCAGACCTTCGAGTGTCAAGGCAAAGCATCTCACGCCATTTCCTATGTTTGAAAAGCTCTTCCCACTGTGCAGTATGTATGTGCAAAGAATCCTCTCCAACCAATTCTCCTTTGCTCGAATTCTGACGAATTCGTCGATGACTGTCTGTCTAACCGGTGAGGATCGTGTATATTCGCGTAAAGAGATTTGTCATTAGTCGATTGAGCGGCTCAATGACACCTCAACGGAGAAGTTAGACCCGTTTACAGCTTCATTGTGCATGTGTTGTACGGATGTCACGCGACCACTAAGCCCTCATTGTCTTTCTACGATGGATCCGCTGACTTACAATGTCTATACTATTTACTTTGACGCTGACACACGAAGAGGCTCATGCTCAGTATGCATATTCTCAAAACAGCAAGTTATGGATGTCCTCGCCACGTCATTTGGAGCGCACCAATCGATTGACTTGGTAGACAATCACCAATAAACAAGAGTAATTGATCGCCATTCCATCACATCCCCACGCGACGACGGTGTTGAGATGTTCACGACTCGGGCAAAATATAGCCTTCGATACAGAAGAGATCTCTAGACCGTGCGTGACGTTGAGGTTTGGCAGCCACGTTGATATTGCGTTGTTGCAAAAACGACGTCAACCTATGTACCGTATAACGTACTACTTGTTCCTCTTATCTATCTTCCTACAGTGGCATTCGCTTTATATCGCTCCTGCCATTCTACAAATATTTTTGCTGGGTAAGGCGTCATGTGTCTTCGTTATACGTGTCCCGTTCTACCTAACCAGATAAGCAAATACACTCAGGAAGTTGGACCTCAGTGTACATTCGTGCATAATTACCCCGCGGAGTCTGACCAATCTTGCTGTCTGAGGCATTTTTGCCTGATGATGCCATGAATACTATCCTCTCGTGAGTACCACCGATCTACACGTACGCTGTTCTGTTCCGAGGACCTGTCGTCTTTACGACAACATGGACTTCTACAGGACCTGCGAGCAAGCGCACTGACGATTCCAGTAGTGCAGTATCTGCGCTTTGGAAGCTGTTTTGGCCTGCTTGCCAGCCAGCTCTTTTCGCATCAAGTATGTTACAATACGATTTATTGCAGCTTCATGCACTTGTGATAGCTTGACAAACATGCGATACGGGATACTGAACGACAACGGTTTCACAAGAGCGATCGTTTGTGGATGAGGAGAATAGCACGTACTGCAACATGAGCATTCGCTTCATCCGATACCCAGACATTCAGCAAAGACATCGTATTGCTCACAACAATGCTCACAGCATTGCTAATGCGACTGCAACTTGAATCTGTACCATGATACAATGTGAAAGAAGATATCGAGCTGTGTCGGCCTTAGGGCTTGTGAAGCTGGAAACCTCTCGTTGCCTGATTGTGTCACAGTGCTTCAGGTAAGTGAGGACATTGCGCGTATCCCGTAGAAGCACTAAATGCTTCAATGTGTCCATGGGCAGCAGTTTCTGTTGCAAGCACTGCAAAGCGTGCAACTTCGAAACGTCGCCATCGCCACTGTGCGTTGCTGGTCTTCGTTCCTCATCGTCTCGGGAACAATGGCAATGACTTACGCAAATTTGACTTTCATGATACAATACAAAGATAAGTACTTTGTAGATTTCAACGTGTTCGTGATGCACCAGCTCTATCGAGCTCGAGACAGTGACAAGCATAAATTGGGGCTCGACATTGACAAATTGTCAAGAATCATTTACATGTCCATCATGTTGCCAGCAGAACGTCCAAACTCGAGATGACTCTGAATGAGAACGCATCTTTACTTGGGGTAGCGCGAGGTGCGTAAAACTCGGCACCCAGACATTTCACCGTCGTTGAGATCATTCAACTACTAGAGCTTCTTCTCGCAATTCCTCATCCTTTATTGTGACGACAAGGTAAAGTTTGTCGTCTGCGGATACCAATACCATATGGGGTATCTTACTGAATCATCAGAAATGTGGTATACGACGACGTACGCCGAGCAGCCAGGGTTGACGCGTCATGATGGCTGTACAAACTCGTGTCAAAGAGCGTAAAACGGGTAATTTTGACATTGGCGTTGAATTATGTTTGCTGTCAGTTGTGTGTTGGATTTCGCGTTCTTGTTCCAGAATGTAACACATCTCATGGAATAAACCTTCGCGGACGACGACTTACTGAACGTGTTTCGCGATTGACCAGGTGAAGAAAACTGACTGCTACAGCAATACGACAACAGTCTAATGATCTACAAAGGCTGCTACAAATTATGCTGTGTCTCGTCTCTTTCCTGCATGATCCTAGAGACAGAATATTGACTTCGCGACAAATTACGGGCCAGTAAGCATTAATGCACTGGAATACAAAGTTCCCATTTACAACATTGGGCAAGATCGCTACTTGGTCATATAAATGCAAGACTGTCGTCGTGTGGCATAATGTCAAGGTGCCCATATCTCAATCTTCATATCGTGCCAAGTGGAAGTGACATCTGCCGATTTGCGTGCTCCAGTCGACATCAAGGACAGCGAAAGTACTCCTACGAAAGAGCGGACATAAGTTCAATCAGTTGGCAGATGTAAGTCTCGTCATTTCGACCAGTCCCAGCATTTATGCTGTCTGTCGCAAAAAATATGACCAGTTAGTGTCTTGACAATCCGCGATTCGATCACGCGAAGCCAGATTTATACAGTCGCATGTTCCTCCTGGGTCGCAATGGGGATCTACGAACCCCGAAGGTGCTCTCATCTACGTACTAGTAGCCCGACATTTCTTAACAAAATTTTGTACTTCCAAGTTCGTGTATGTACGACTTGGCAAATTGCTAGTCGATCTGCGCATTGGCCATGCGAAGCTTCGTAAGTCATCTTCTTGGATGCTTAGTGTTGGCAGTAGCATATAAACTTAGGAAGAAGCAGGCAATGTAGCACTGAAGGACAAGACGCGTGCTATCGCAGAGAAGGAGGATATACGTGACTGAAGGATGTGTCATTGATCGACGAGAATCTTTGACAAATAGACTGATATTATATGAGATGCAAACACGAGTACTGATCACGTGGACTTTTTCGATCCTTCGAACTCGTGATATCTCTGTTGTGCGTGCCGAAGCTGCTTGCTAGTAGAACGACGTATCTACCTTGTGCCATAGTCATAGCGGATCCGATGGCGCCCATCATACAGATACGTGTGGCTCTGCGTTTCGATTACATTTAGACTCAGCAATGGCCTCAGCCGCCAACTAGCGGTGCGTGGGTCAACAGCTACTGCTGATACTTATGTTGGAAACAGATGCACGCATGATGATGTATATCGTGTATTGTTGTTTGTTAAGCGTCAAGACGAGCTGACTACATACAGGTAGCCTGATACTTCTCATGCGCCCTTCTTAGTATTGACCACACAATGCTCACCATGACATGTTTGGAATGTTGTAGGCATCTTCCAGTCGTACTTCTGTTGTCCACTCGTGAGCTCATTGCCCGGAAAGTACTCTCATCTAGCACTTGTGTATGCTCAAGATGTCGAGCATAGCGGCATATCTCGACCCCTTGTACCCAGCTCTGTGAGTGTACACTTGACTGGGCTGAAGTCATCGAACACCGCTGCCCGTATCGTATGTAAGTCGTTAGGACTAGTAGTAGCAAGACGAAACTCTATCACGTGTATTCGATGCATCCAGAGGGCATCAACGTGATGACGTTGAGTTGCCAGTGAAAAGTGTAGACCCATTGTAGATTGAGCCTTGGGCTACGTTGTCGTCAACGACGACATGACACCATGGCATGGACACTTGACTGGATTGAAGTAAAGGTATGGATCGAGACACGGGATAGAGGGCGAGCGAACTGCATGATATACGACCTGCAGGACTTGTAGCTCCATCTGTCGTCGTTACGAAAGACAATCGTTGGTGCTCGTAAGTCACGTGTGCAGTAGTGAGAAAGGCAAGTCGATCCGGTACTAAAATCACAATGGGACGTAAGCAGCAGCAACTTGGAATGTGGGTGTCACGAAGAAGCGTGGGGACAAGCATAAATCTTCGGGTATTCCCAGCGATGCCATTGCACTACGTTTGTAGCTCACCTGGCACCATCGCGATTGTGAAATGGATACACAGTCGCATGCTCTTGCTCGACTGCTGTGATTGTGCTGACTCTTGTTCCTGAACTTTGTTCGTAGAATACCTGATGCCATCGATACATGACTTGCCTGTCGATTCGTAGTGCACAAGAATCCATTGAAAGATGGCGTTCCCCATTAACCGCTTTGACGTTCCAAAGTCTTTCACGCATAACAAGTGTTTCTCGGCTAAAGGTATGATGTCGGCACAATGGCCGGCGCGCTTTTTCCTAGCGTCAAGAAGCCCTTGTGGTATCGCACACAGAGTCGCTATCCTTTGTGCCTTGAGTTGTTCTGATGATCTTTTTGACTTGTGGGTTGCTTCATGGCATGTCACTGCAACGACTGCTGAATACATGAACGATGTGCGCCAAAGCCGCTCGTGTCAATGCAAGTGTCTTGGTTCGTAGCAAAAGAAGAAGCACTTGTTGTTGATGTACTTTCCGTGTAGTGTCGCTGTAACGAAGGACGTCGAAATGTATGGTACCGATAGGCGAAGCTGTTCTGTGTAGCACGGCACTACTGTGTCAAGGCAGTAGACAGTACTGATGTCTAGTCAATAGTGCTCACGAACGTGACCAGCAACGGTATTTACTTGGCACCTCTGTTCCCCGCCTGGACGAAATGAGTGGTTTTGGATGCAAGACGGTCTCACGGTTCCTGCGTGTCTGGCTGTTTTTGAAAGCTATCACCAATGATGTCACAAAGATACAGGCAAAGGGGAGAAGTGAATGCCCGAGTCAATACTTCATGAGCTCATTCCGGATGCTTTAGCCGATGCTGTGCTCACTTGACAGTGTCGGCACCTGAAGATCACTCTGTTGCCTACTTGTCGTTGCCACGAAGGTTTCATGGACTCGATAGGAAGAACAAAGTCGTAGTTGATCGACGACGTTTACACTTACATTTACATCAGTTAGCTGCTGCTCGTATCCAGCACGGTCTCAAGAGCACTGAAAGTTGCATTGTTCGTGCAAAGCACAGTAGTAGACCTCTCAGCATGTTTGACGAATTCCGTCTGTATCATATCTGTCGGAAGCAGTTCGAATTCTAAACTTTGTCATGCACTTTTTAGAGTCAATGAGAAATGTCCCTAAAATGAAGACAATCCGGAAGTGTACGAGAAGTCGCAGCGACCGATCGTCACGAGATCCAAAACTGCCGTACATGTTCCTAACAATTCTCTGACCAAATCCCCTCTTCGACCATCGCACCAGTCTTCGAGTCTGCAGCAAGACAGACCGTAGTCGTCGTGCATTTGCATACCGTCCTAGGCGTTCTTCACTTTTGGCACGAGCAAGTGCTCGAAAACGTGGCGGAGATCGTCATGAGTCGTGGTTTGCCCATTTCAGACAGCCAAGCGCGGACGTGGGCAAAGGCGACGGTCCATCCTGACCCAGCTACGTACCGTTCTGAAATGAACGATAAGCGACAAAACTCAGCCCACTCGTAGTCAGAGAGCGACGATACGTGATATCGTACCGATCGCGTTTGTTGTCGCAGGGCTTGAGCAAACAGCAGCAGTATTTCGCATCTTGCAACGTCTTGACGGTTCGGATTCAACACTCTCTTGAGCTAACCCGGCACAACAGACAATCACTTACGGCGCACGACGGGGCAAACAGGTTTCACAATTGCACGCATCTCAACAACGTCCAGCGCTTTTGTCCACAAGCGTCCAACTCCACTACCCACACAATCATTTCGATGTGTGACGTTGTTACAGCATGACCGTATATAAAAACTCCAACAATGCTGACGTCGGGGTGTCCATCGGAACGGACAATGTAGCAAGAACAATGCTACGAGCAGCAGAGGGTCTACTGTGCTACATTGCAAGCCCATACGCACTCACAAACTTGCCAGGTATTTCACATCGCTCTGCGTTCCCCCACACGGCTCCGGTCTAGTCTCTCTATCCACACAAAGGTCGAAATGGTACTGTCACCAAATGGATCCAGCTCCAACGTTCATGCGAATCCAAACGTCACCCGATCCTCGAAACGCGACATTCGTCAATTGGAGAGCCACAGCAGAAACACAACGCACGACCAGATTACTCGCGTCGACATTTTCTGCGCCACGCCTGACCATACTGTCTTGCAATTCGACCCAACGCCTTCTGCAACGTCAAAGTACGACCGAGACCTCAATGACATGTTCTGGAATCGTACAGAGGCAGTAGCATCTCCGAACATCGACTTCAGCAGCTTTGCAAACCTGTCGCTGGATCAATGGAAATCATGGAGCCACAATGACCAAGAAGGTGTCCACGCTTACGTACGCCAGCTCGCCACAAAAAACACCACAGTAGCGACCGAAGTGCTAGTTACTGGTCATTTGCAATGCAGCTTGGCAGAAGCTGCAGCGCTGCTCCGATGCCCTCAAGAGTCTGAATTCAATACCACGATGACGATGATGTACGGACGCTCGTTCAAGAACGGGTCTGTTGTTCACAGCTTCACCCCAGTAAAACCTGATGTGCGCGATACTTTTTCGGACTGCGGGTTTCGCGAACGACACAAATGTATCAAGATGGCCAGCTTTGCTCGACCTCGTTTAGCTCTGCTAGGCGGTGATGAGCAATGGTGCTTCCTTGAGGAATTCACGCCGTTGCACAGCGATCGAGACACTGCAGGAAATGGTTTCACGTTGTCTCAGCGGACCTTGCAACCCGATACGCTGCCACAACAAGTGCGGCCGCCAAGTCAGCTTGTTTCTCGTCGCGGTAAGATGAGAGTCAACCGCGTGAGCAAGCGAGTTCACCAGCTCGTGGGTCTTTCGATCGGGTACTTTGTCGAGCCGATCTACGGTAGCCACCCTGCGACCGTTCGACTTGTGTTCTATGGCTGCTGTTCCGGCAGTAATCGAGGAGACTCCAACACCAGTCAAAGGCGTATGAAGTCACTGGCCCGTGGTATGCTGAAGCTGCCCGCCATCGTGCGCTGCCGTCGACTGAGTGCTCGAATCCCGGTCAGTACTTGGTCCGCCACCCAAATGACATTAAAATGCCTATCTGCACCGACTTCGTCGCGATGCATCAACTGCTTGCATTCACTTCACAGAGTTCGCAGGATTACGAAAACGAGGTGTTACCGGTGTGCAAACTTTGTATGCTGTCGCTGTTGGGATCGACAAACGTTGGAAATCGTGAATGGCCGGAACATCTCCGTGCTTGTTTGTCCCCATTGCCAGCAGAGCGCCCAGAATTACAGCTGTGCTCCAAACTTCGCAGCTTCCGCTGTGCGAGACCGACAGGGCGACAGTAGCGCGAGCCTTTCTAGTTTGGCGTCAGCCGCAAGCGCTGGGATCCCTGTTGACACAAAGAGGTGTGAGCTGAGACCAAGGACATATTCGAGTCAAGTCAAGTCGCGATGTAGCGACTGGCCGTCGCCTCAGGATGCCTGGTGACCAATTCAGAGCACAGTCCCACCCAAAGTCCTATCGGTTGGAACTCGCGGTGGATAGAGTCCAAGACAGACGCGGCCGACAACGTTCTGTATCAGCTCATGACTCTGCTCAACAAATGAAGCGATGCCATCATGTACTTGAAACGCTTCTCGCCGTACTCGACGTGACATTCGGCCGCTCAGTACCAGTTGAGAAGAGATGCCACACGTTGAACCGTGCATGCTGTCCACGTGCACTAGCTCAAGCCCCATCTGCCGGCGCGTCAAGCGAAGGTAGCGTTGCCGTGTCCCAGCTCGATCCGTCTCGACACACAACGCATCATGCCATCTCGAAACTGTTACGCGAGATCAGCTTTGCGGGCGAGAAACTCCAAAAATGATCGCTTTCGTTTTGCAACTTGGCCTCACAAGTGATGACTTGCTTCACTATACTGGTGAGGATGTTCCGGCGCCATGTTGCAACGTCTTCTCCTGGTCACTCAATATCCACCTTTGCAAAACGCTGTGTTGGCTCGGCGATATCCAATTGTAGGCCGTTTGCTCCTAGCGACCGAGCGTGCTCATTCAACAGAAGCTAATGTTCGTGCTGTAACCTGGGGCACTCTTGCAAACTTTGGTTGTCAAGCCTCACACAATGATCCAAATTTGCCGTGGCGATCATCCCGCGAGACCATAATACTATACTGACTGGACGATGCTTGCGCGCGATAGACGGCTCGGTCCCAGGATTGACGATTGCACATCTTGCCGCATATGTCACATAGCGCAACGAAGACTCGTCAACAGCTCTGCGAACCACAACATGACATGTGCAAGCGCTCCGTTCGCTGCCGGTTCAGTTGGGGTCACCGCCAAACCTGATAAGCCTACAAAACAAGTCGTGCGTAGCACCACAAGTACACATTCGCCAGTCACCTTAACTCAGCTGAAGTGTCCATGTCAACGTCCTATTATCATAACATAAAACCCTCTATCGTATTAGCAACTTCTGCAGCAACGACGAGGAGCACGTGGGATACCTGCTTTATTACGACAAGCAGTGTTAAAAAATAACGGTAAGAGGCAGACACATGCCAAACGAGTCTTCCTAGTCCACAATTGTTCTTGCTTCCGTGACATAATTCTCCTCGCTTACATCATGCTGCACTGTTACATACGCACAACACAAATTAGTAACACGATACTGTAGTCAACACCACATTGCACACTTACATTTCCAGAAGGAGGGGCTTCGTCATCCGTGTAATCTGCGCGAATATCCGCCTCAATGGCGCGCACCTCCTCTTCGGACAATCCTTCGCTTTTCATGCTCACAGGAACGTCATCCGACGTCACGAGGACAATGAAGTCACCTTTCTGGTTCAGCGAAAACTTGTTCGCCAAAAACGAGTCCTCGCCTTTCTTGCGCTCCTCCTTTGCGTTCTTGTTCCGTTTACTAGAGTGCACGGTCAGCGTGGACTGTGGCCGCATGACGTAAGTGGCCGGAAAACGGAACGTCTGGTCCATCTGACCACGTACGACCCACCCGCCGAGAGGCACAGGCTTGCTACCTGTGTTTCGTAGCACAATCCGGTCCTTTTCCAAGTCCATTGACGCAATTTCCACTGTAGACGCTGGCGGCCACAAACCTTCTTTCTCAAATACAACCGCACGCTTTGCTCGCTTCGATTGCAGACCGTTCGTGTTCTCACTCTTTCGCTTGCGGTCTTTCGCGGTCGGCGTCGCACCTGCCACGCGGCTCTCTTCGCGGTCCAAAATGCGGCGGTACTTCATGATCTCAGCATCCAACGCAATCTTCACGTCCATCAGTTCATTGAACTCGCGTTCTTTCGAGATCTTGGATGACCGAAACCGCTCCAGCGTTTCTTCGTATGCTTTTCGGTCTTTCGTCGACTTCGATCGCACTTCGCGATAATCGCGCTCCAGCTGCGCCACTTTCTCAGTAAGCGCTTGTCGTGCCTTGAGACTCTCCTCATAATCCGTCGCTGTCCGATCGAGTTCCTGCTTTGTGCTCTCGAGCTCGCTTTTCACGTCATCCAGCTGGTTCTGCAAACTGCTCACGACACTCTCAAAGTGACTACGCACTTCTGTCTCCATCATATGCAGTCGATCTTCCGCGTCTTTCTTCCACTGGGCCTGCGACTCCAATTGCTTTGCTGTCCACTCCCGTCGAAGCTTCGTCAGCTCGACATCTCGAGTCAAGTCAAAGTCCGCGCTCTTCTTTTTCAGCTCTTCCAACTCTTGCGTAGCGTCACTCAGTGCTGCTGCTTGGCTGCGCGTTTCACGCTCCAGCTCCTTCACGCGTCGTTGAGCGGCATTCAACAACGTCGTTTGTTCCGACAGCGTCTCTTTGGCCGCTTTAGCATTCGCTTTTTCACCAATCAGCTGTGCTTTCAGCGTCTCAAGCTGCACTTTGGCGTCGCTCCATTCCGTCTGCTGGGCACGTAATTTCACCAGTTCCTTGTGCTGTTCCTGCTCGAGCGTCTGCAAACGTGCGTTCTGGTCCATTTCGTTGTTCAGTTTGCTGCGTGTCAACCCATTGTTAAAACGTTTAAACAACTATACTCGACTTTCACCACACACACTAAAACGCCACACAGTCGTACGTACGTGCGTGTGTCCTCCAGTTCCTTTGTCAGTCTCGAGCGTACACGCTCGAGGTCTTGCTGCATCCGCTGCTTGATGACTGCCAACTCGCGCTCGGCGGCGTGTTTCGCGCCTTCGAGCTCGTTGACGCCTAATACGTACATTTCCAGCCGCGAGTTGAGTTTCTGCATAAAAGCGTTTAAACAAAGTCAAAACAGATTTCAGCACAGTGCGCGAGGCAGGCCGTGGCCATCACCCACGACGAGCGTACAACAACAGAAGAGCACACACGCAGTCAACGACAGACAATAGCACATGTACATACACACCTGGAGCGACGCTTTCTCCTCCATTCGCTTGGACTTGATCGGCGAGAGCTCCGTCGTCATGGCAAACAAGAGCGCGCGAGCGGCGGCAACGGCAAAAGGACTCGGTGTTTTAACAACTGCGGGTGCTCGAAAAAGGCAGTGAGGGATGGTGTGGTGCACATACGTGAGAAAAGCAGAACGAGCAGATACCGCGGGTATATCGCAGTTGAAAAAAAGCTGAAAGAGCACATACCGCGGGTTATATTGCATTTGTAAGAAAAGCGAAAAGGGGACATACCTCGAGTATGTCTCCACGAGAAAAAAGCGATTTCCCGTCAATGAGGGTGTAAAAGGGCACGAGGCGGTCGGTGATGCGTGAATAGAAACGAGCGTGCCATATTCAAGACGGAACTGCTGTTTTGGGACCAGCGCTCCATTTATTGCGTTTCGAACCGATGAGTGACAAGGACCGAACGTCGTGGTCTATCCTGTCTTGTCTAGGATAGACCACGACGTTGTGGGCCTATCCTGTACGAGTGAATGTTCAAATTGTGGGACATAGCGGCCACGTCTCAACTTGCTGCGCTCGTCAAAGTTGGTCAGCAAAGCCGTGGAACTACTTCACTACGCATACCGTTAGAGTTATCGCTTGGAACTAAAAACTCTGCTGTGGGACAATAGGTATTAAACGTCGACAATAAGAGGCAGACAGGAATTGCTCCAGAACTTTTGATGTGGGATTGATGAAGTAGATGAAGCAGTCGTACGACTATAAGACGTTGCAGTGGTCAAGTTGGTTGATTGCTGGATTACTACCATTCTCTCATGTTTTTTTTCCATTTCCTGCCTATAGTTGAGCTCCTCGATTTTCGATGACTCTTCTGTAGCCGCCATCGCAAGCTATGTACTGTATCACGATGTGCGATCGAAGATGGACGTGTACGGGATGCATTGCACACTCAACTGAGTGTGGTCGTATTCAACGACGAAGACTGAACAAACTTGATACCTGACTACTCGTCGCATCAAATGTTCGTATACTGTATTCGTTCTGTCGGGCGTTTCCGACGTTGTCAATTGCCATCGGACCTCCTCGAAACGAACGTTGTTGATTGATTATCCATCACACCTGTACGGCCACGAAAAAGCGATTCGGTCGATACGGACAGCGGCAAGAGACCGAAAAAAGCTGCTTGCTCGACAAATCGGTCAAGCCATTGCTCTGCTGGTGCTTTCTTTACACATGCGCCGCGTTGTGTGTGTTTCATAACTGGTTTGCGCTCGACTTGTCAAGGCAGATGACGGCCCCGCGCTGTCACATGACCTGCAAGTTCTTGTCGTTATGTTGACTGTGGTCTCAGCAAGCTCATTCCAGAAACGCACCTGAGAGAGCACCATCAACTCGTCATCGAGCAGAAGCGTTCATAGCTTCAAGCGCAAGCTGGGAACGTGTCATGCCTCATGATACTGCGCTCGACTTGTCAAGGCAGATGACGGCCCCGCGCTGTCACATGACCTGCAAGTTCTTGTCGTTATGTTGACTGTGGTCTCAGCAAGCTCATTCCAGAAACGCACCTGAGAGAGCACCATCAACTCGTCATCGAGCAGAAGCGTTCATAGCTTCAAGCGCAAGCTGGGAACGTGTCATGCCTCATGATACTCCACGCATCGTACAAAACGGACGAGTCTAGAGAAGTGTCGGTCAACTCAAGAACGAAGCACGCGCGAGTGGAATGGCTGATCACGGCTCTCGCCTACTGTTGACGGAGAAGCCAAGCAGCCGATAAAAGCCTTCCTTATCACGAGTCATTCGATCGCACCAATGGTGAACTCAGCGCGAAATAATGGATCCGCCACATGACACGGAAGCAACACACTCGGTCGTTGCACAACCAGATCACAAAGCTTTCGTGTCTGTCGTATACGAAGCCCCGCGGTATCCAGTCAACTTGTCGAGCACTTCAATCAACTTGCAGGCGCTCTAGTCAGCAAAACTTTGTGGTCTCCAACATATCCAGCCACAAGACGTAGACGCTTTCAGCTTATCGGCAAAACGCATACGATCCTCGACCCTGAGCTCTGTTTGTCATTGATATAGACATTATCTCTCGGCTCGCGTGAACACCATTCCAGGCGCCAGTACATGCACTCCATGCTTTGCACCGTGGCAAAGGCTGCTGAAGCATTGAGACGGTGGGGCTTACTTCAGACGTTTGTCTACTCGATAGTCGTTTGTCAACTCGATAGCGAGTATAGTGTGTGCCAACCGTGGCCCGGCGCAACTCCTCCGCTGTTAATCTGCACACTACCAACCATGACCATGCCATACCGTTCAGCACTCGTCCACCGTCTGCTGCTCGTGACTTCTGTGGTGCACTCTCCACATCGATGAAGAGGGTGACCTCACGTAGATCGTACTCTGCGTATCAAAGCGCAAAAAGAGCGACGACATTGATGGGGCCGCTGGTCTTGAACAGATTCGCAATGCAGCCTGCATGGCACCGCTACATCAGAGCAAACGTGTCGTGTTCCTGCCGAACTGCTACACAGCCCTCAAGTTTCTGCCGGTGAATCGCAATACACCACTTGCATGTCACGGGGCTGCAAAGTCAGTATCCGCCATGGCAACTGGTCATCGAGCACTGGAGCGCTGTGGCCTAGCTGCCATCCATTGGCGCTCCTTTCGCAGCAATTGCTGCACCGCACGATCACGCGAGGTAGCACCAGCATATGGCTTGAGACCCGTTCGTCCGGATATCCACACGGCTTCAATCCATTGCTGCCTGGGTATCTTGACCACCACGGCTGGCATTTCCCCGTACGTACATTGACCCTTCCTTGAAGCTTCGATGCTGGCAACAACGGCAACCAAGCACGCTGTGGACAGGCATGCTCCATTGCGTGGACAAACACGTCACTGCAACTAGACAGGAATCTCGCACAAATAGTGTCGCGATCAGATCTGCGAAATGACCTACAACTGCAGCAAGAACGAGTAAAGGTACGAGCACTGTGAGTGTTGAGCAGAAAACGTGACGCAATACAACACAACATTTCCCACGCGTACCTGTCCACTGCCTGCCATGCGGTCCGGCCAGCTGCTCCGTCCATTTTCTTTTTCTCCGGGCCGAGATGGAAGACTCGACTGTGCTACGTCTGGAAGTAGCTGAGCAATGCGCTTGCAAAAGTCAAGGCTCTCTTCGCATCTTCGTTCCAGTGCTTCAAGCTTGCTGTTCACCACATCCGAGTCTTTGCCACGGAAATCCTGATTGTAGTTCAAGTCGTGGTGAGACCCAAAAGCACCTTCGAGCTGCTGTAGCCACTCCTCTTGTTGTGCCAATTGAGACTGAACACGAGCTTCAAGTGCTGCTCGCTGTCGAGCTTCGTCCGCCAGCAACTCCTCGAACGATCGACTCAGACGCGCCAAAGACGCTTCGTGCTCGCCTGCTAATGCCGCAAGAACAGCATTGGACGACAAGGCTGCTTGTGTATCCTCCTTGTCCGTGTGGGGCTCCACTTCATCGTCTCCCAATGAAGCCTTCAGCTCAGCCAAGAGACCTGCCCGGGCTTCAGCAGTTGCTTCCTGCACTTTGGCTTCCACTTCCTCACGCAACGTCTCCACCAAATGCTTCACTGGACTATGCTTGCCTGCTTTTCCCGTAGGAATGCCCAGCACCTTGGCGATCGTTGCCAACTGCGACTGGAACGCACTCTGACGTCCTTCTAACGTCGAGATTCGGTCACTCAAGACCGTTGCGGTCGACGAATCCACTGTTCCAATCGACAGCGACGGTGTCAACTGCTTGTACGGCAACTGCTTCGGCACGAACGGCGCTGCCGACGCACTCCACGTCGAGCTGCTCGTGCTGCTTGTTCCCGTCCCTTTGCTGCTGTCCCCTTCCAACCGACTGCTCTTCTTTGTCAGCTCCAGCACCTGCTCTTGCAGTCTTGTCACCTGTGTCCCCATCTCGTGCACCTGGAGCCTCAACTCGCCACACGAGCACAGCGACCGGCTCAACGATCGATTCCTCGTACCCGACACGACCGTCTCGTTCCCGTAGCGATGGGCTGCGCCCAGCACAAGATGCTCCAGCGCTTCAGCGAGCTCCGCGCTCTTGCGCGTCACGTGCTGCACGTGCAGCGACGTGTCCATTGGCTCTCGTACGTGCGGTGTCGCGAGCACAGACGCCGTGCGCGGCAACGTCGACGCGTCGGTCGTGGACGACGGCCGAGGCGCAGGACGGAACGCTGGCTGCAAGTACGACAGGTACGACGGCAGCGCCTCTTCTTCGCGCTCTTCTTCGGCCATCTCCATGCGGTTCCAGAGCGCTCGGGAGCCCGAGGCGCCAATCGATCCGTGCGACGACGACGCACTGCTGACACTGGAGCCGGCAAAGGTCCACACGCCGTCGGGATGGCCGCCGCCGGTGGTGCTGTTGCTGCTGTCGTCGTCCCGCGCGATGTCGCGACTATTGAGCCACATGAGTGCGCGAGGGATTGAGGTGCAGACGGTCCAGTGGAGCGGCACAAGTGCGCGGCGAACAGAGACCAAAGTGTCGGTCGGATGTTTCTCGCGAATGACTGGCGATGGCGACGGGGTGGGTGGCGGCATACTGAAACCAAGTGAGTGGAAATGACGCCGATCCGCGTCATCATTATCGACACGGGCGTTGGCATAAACGAGCGGGACGCGCCCTGTCACACGTGCGCGATGGGTACACAATTGGGACTCGACCGATTGCACACACGTACGTGCTTTTGTGTGACCACACATAAGTGGTAGACGAGAAAACGTGGGACGGATGAACACGTGCCGAATTATATATGCCCCGTGGCCATACCCCGCATGATGTACAAGAGGATAACGTATGGTACACATGGCGATGCGGAAGAGCTGTCATTAGCTTCCCGGACACACAAAGGATTCGTTCATTCGTAGAGGGCAGACCATCCCAGCCCGCTCCGAGCTACAAGCACGTTGACAGGTACTTGTCGAAGATTTACTTCGATGCCTTCACGACCATGAGCCACTGGTGATATAACGTTTATGGACGAGAAGAAGAAGAAGAAGAAGATCTGTCTGTGGAATGAAGGTGATGCCGCTCATACGTTGCCCCACCTTGCGACGAGAGCAAAGCGAGAGTACACCCTGTCAAGACGTTGGTCCAGGGAACACTGTCTGTGTCCGTGCTTCTTCGCAATCATCACTTACTAGTAAAAGAAGCTGAAATCTCAAGTGCAAGCGAATACACCCGCTCGTCTTTCGTCGTCGATGAAGAGCTTGTCAACTGAGTGCTGCAGTGTCACTCGAAACGTGTGATGCTACGTGATGGTATAATTGTAATGGATGGTGAGCCACCCTTTTTTGTAGCTGCAATTGCCATGGTCTATCTGTCTGCTTGAAATTCAGACTGAATGAAGCTCTCTTTCTTCTAGAAATTGTTTCTAGAAGATTCGTACAAAGTAAGGAAACGATGGCTAACAAAAGTTCGTTTGACATTTTTGATAAATAAGATTTACTTCCACTTTTCCATCACGCAAACAAGTATTTAGCCAATCCTCTGCAATCTATTACGGGTAAAGAGCTCAAAGGCGGTGACGTACAACAATGACATTCTCACGGACGAGAATTACTACTTGTGGGAGTTTGGTGTTCGCATGACGATCGCGAGAAATGAGCTGCTTGACCATATGAAATGAAGTAGAAGGCATACTAGAGCAGGCGACTGCAAAATGAAATACCGACGATTTGAAGGCGTTAGATATCATTTCGAGGATGCCCAGTACGGTGTTCCAGTCTAATAATTTAATGCGTCGAGCGCCGCGTATGCTTGACATATCCTGCGCGATATTCACGTCAAGTGGAGCCTGCACAATCATGACTAGATTCACAAACAGCTACATGATTTTGTGATGACTCATGGGAACAAATCCAGAAACCAGCAGTAGATTTGTGCAAAGGTCCAGGAACCAGCACCAGTATGAGGTGAGATCACGCAGCGCATAGATAATGAGGACCACATAATTTATTTGTGTGGTGTGTTGGTGAATTTAGATTTGTGTACGAAACATGAATAAAATCACTAAGATGTCTTTGAAAAGGGCAATGATTGACATGGAAGATATTTACGGTACCAATATTCTGTCGAAGGGACACATTTTTCCGACGGGCGCTGCTGCAACTATGTTTATACATGACTACTGTTTAAATCAAATTCGACAGTGCAAGGCCAAGAGGTGTAGTGGTGGGAGCAAAGCGTATGTGTGCCCACAAGACGGGTGCCCGTGAAAAATACGCGTGACGAGGCGACAGCGGAAGGGTGCATCTTCTAAGCACTATATTTCAACGCTAAACGATATTCACTCGGATGTGTGCCTCGCGACTGCCAAGCCTTCAGCACGGCAAATCAAGGTTTTTTTCTACATTCAATGCTGCGGTTCGAGGCGACAACGGCATCAAGCGCAAGGAAATTGTGTCGCTACTCCGCTTCAGTGATGGAACTAACCTCCAAAAGTATCAAACCAAGAACTACGAATCCAAAGAAGCGGTCTTTGAAGAGATGGAAGGCGAATGGAAATCGTCTTTTGAGCTTTTAGCTCCACGTTTGATTGAATTAAAGCGCGTGAACCGATCCAGCACTGTGGCGCTCGAAGTGGACCATAGGAATCGATTTCTTTGCTTGTTTGTGGACTTTGGAAAGTCTCTTAACAGCCACCTTTATTATGTTCGATTTCTCCGCTTGTGTGTGGCCTTTGGAGTGTCTGTTAGCAGCCATCTTTCAAACATAACGTTGGCCGCTGCCTTCGTAAATGTGGAGAACAAGGACAACATTATATGGTTTTTCATTCATTGTATTAAGGCTGTAATAATTTGGTGAATATCGCGATGATGTTTAATCGTGGAAAGATACAAGATGCCGTGAAGCAAGCGTACACAATCACAGGTTGATACCTGTGAATCAGCCTCCAGATTCGATTCTGCACCTTGCACATGTTGCGCAATATAAAAGGAAATTTCGGATGTTCTGGTTCTGACTTCGAGAATGCCGTAGTGAAAATTTAATCAGCAGAGTCCGAGATCGACTACAATGCTGCTCTTACGTCGGTACAAACAAAGTTTGGAGATGGTATTGCCGCATACATCGGGCATATTAATACCACTTATTAATTTGAATTTGCGGATATGCAAATGGAAGTTGTTGATAAGAAATTTAATGTCAAAAATCTTACGAGGTCGAGCACAGATTCGGCCACAAGCACGCATCACCAAGACCGTCTTGCACCAACCATGATACTGTATTCTCTTTCTGGGTGGCGCAACACTAACTTTGTCGAAAGCGATGACAATACAATGCTCGTCCATGGTATTCGTGATGCATCGACTCTCGTAGCATTAAATTTTTTAACACAGGCGACTATGAAAAGTTTTTGTATGCGTCAAGATCAAACTAAAAAATGGTTAGTAAACAAACTTAATGTGACACCTCATGCGCGGTCTTTTTGAAATAAAGAAATAGCAGCTGCAGGTGGATGTGAAGTTGCACGGTCGACCTCCACTGTATGGTTTGTATTGAAACAAGGCTACGCTGGATATCGGCGCATTAATGTTGAAGCTTAAAGTTGATCATGTTCAACTGAAATGTAAATGAGGTTGCCTTGCCGCCACCTTGTCTCCGTATTGCATAGTAATGGGTCTACAATAGACATAACGGCAGCTTTTTATCCATCATACCTGGTCAAAATTTTGAGCAGGGGTTTCTGGGGAGGTCGATTAAATTTGTTGTCAGCACTAGAACACCTCTATTGATGATTAATTCACCACCGTATTATGAAAAACTGGACGACGACAAAAAAGAGTAATCAGTAGCTTTGCGGATTCGAAGTATGGAGCTACTTACACTTGCCGATTTTGCTTTCAAGCGGGCATAACAAGACATTATTCCGGCGCCATGTGACTTGGAATTAAAGAAAAATAATTTTGTAGCAAGGTCAATTGACTTCAATGAACCGATAATCCCTGTGCATCCGGTGTCAGTCTTCGTGACGAATACAGTGATGTCCTACATGACCTCAAACTAATACCACCCGCGTGGGTCTATTTCCTTCATACTCAATTGAGCTTGCTGTGCATAGCTTTTACAAAGAATGAATGAAAAAATGAATCTGCTATAACGTTGCTCTAAACACGCTTGCTATATATTGTTATAATTTAGCCCCTCATAGCTTACATTTACAGGAAAAAAGTGCTTCAAACATTGCGGGTGCAAACTTAACGGCCTCTGCAATGACACGTCCTTCTCCATGCACTTGCAAACACCGCTTGCTTCGATCATGTAGCGTCCTGCATGTTTCAACCAAATGAATAACACATCGTGCCTTCCGTCTGAGCTCGGCGCTTACTGATCGCGCCATTTTGGCGCAGTTTCTTGCCTTCTCCTTGTTTTGCAACGTGCTATGCTCTTCTATGCGATTCCTGGTGGGAAAACAAGAAGCAAAGACGTCAGAACTACTTCAAATGTACATCCGGACCGGCGCAGACTCGTCTTAATCAACTTGCAAAGTATTGAAAAGAGGTTTGAACGATTTTGATAACGTCCACCCTATTACACGCTACAGGCATTAAACAAACAGCGAGATACAGCACATCATTAAGGTTTAAACAAATTAAATCGCGGAGTGCGTCGACTTTCGTACCTACACACCGTCTCGTGGGCTTTCTACAGTATGCTGATTGCGCGCTGCGTCCTCTCCTCTGTCACGTGCAGAAAAATATACAATAACTCATTGACCATTTTTCCTAACACGTGCAGATGAATTAATATCCCCTCTTATACCTTCTCATCACAGGGTTTGCTTTCAGCAAGTATGAGAGTGCCAACATCGAGCAACAAAGAGGCCCCGTTCTTCTTCGTAAGCGCTTGTGAGTCGCCAAATGAAAAATGGGCCGTCCATTTGCCAAATAAAGTCTGCCCAATGAGATGAAACCAACGGCTCCTTAAAAATGGAAAGTATCGAAACCAATCACGCAAGTATCATATAATCTGACAGTTAGACTTTGTGTGGTCCCCATTATTAATGTTCTGCATGGTCTCGTCTCGGTACTGGTGCTAATTTCTGAACTTTGCACAGATCTACTGCTGGTTTTTGAATTTGCTCGACTCTGGCGACAAAATCATGAAACACATTATTAAATTTTTATAATTTGTGCACTCGTCTTGCCTCGGTAGGTGACGAGAATTCCGAAGACCAGAAGTTGGTTTTTCGCTCGGCAGCTTGTCGCCGGAGTATGATGCAATTGTCTGGATTATCTGGAATCGCGAGAACATGTGGATAGTACGAGGCGAAAGAGATGTTACGACGCGAGTGTGACACAATGATCAAGAGAGAAATCAAAAGTCTGTGATAAGGCTGTTGCTTCTAGAGGAAAGCCACGAGGACACCGGTACGTTACGCGTGGGTATCGCAACAACCACAGCAACCAAG